ATACACTCAACTAGGCGCCCTGGATTTAAATCTTAACTACCACAGTCCAGCCAAGTGACATTGGGCAAAGCATTAAACTCACTGAGCTTCAGTTCCGTCATTTGTAAAGCGGGGGCAGTAACTCTTTATTGAGTGTCCCACTTCACAGGATACCGAGTGTATGCTGATGAGTAAGCCGGGAGTATAGTCCCTGCCCTCATGAAACAGCTGGAAGAAACATTAAACATTGCCCAAATCATTATTTAATTAGAGCTATGAAGGATACTGCGAAATAAGGGAAAGTGCAGTCTGCAATGAGGGTGTAAGATGGTGGGGACCAAAGCAGTTCTCGAGGGTCAGGGGCAGCATCCCGTGAGGAAGAAAATTTTAAACTGAGACCCGACAGGTAAGAAGGTGTTAGACAAGTGAAGGGGTGGAGGTGGAAGGCTGTCCAGGCAGAGGAAGCAGCTGTGCAAAGGCTCTTGCCATGAAAAGGCTTGAATGTTGGCAAACTGGAAGAAAGCCAGGGTGGAGGGGAGTGATCAGGGAGCGTGTGGTACACGGTGAGGCTGGAGAGATGTACACAGGGGTAAAGCCCTCAACTGAAGGCCACAAAAGGAATCTGGGCTAATCAGAAGGGAAGGGGGACATCACTGATAGATTTTTGGTAGGAAAAACAGGATTTTTGTACAGATCACACAACTGTGATCTTTGTAAGAATAGATTTGGGGGGAAAGATGGTAGTAGGGGTAAGGGTTAGGAGGCTCTGGCAGTGAAGGCAAGAGGTGGAGCAGAATGGGAGGAGAGATGGAGAGATGCACATGTTGAGAGGCATGAGAGGTGATGGTCAGGGCTTGGTGACTGGATGTGGGAAAGACTGGAAGGGGTAGGATGTTGTGAGGATCATTCCCAGACTTGTGGCAAGAGCAGCTGGGTGCGTGAACATGCATTTACTGATGACAGCCTTGGAGGAGCAAAGGACTTGGGAGAATGTCAGTTTGGGACTTGTTAAGTCACCTACATAGAGGTGTCAGAGAGGGAGATGTGCAAATGTGTAGCTCCACGGAGGGGACTGGGCTAGAGGACTGGCATTTGAGGATCGGTGACATAGAGTTGGTTCATAAAGATGTGGGCCCAGACAAGGTCTTCTAGAGAGAGGGGGTGCAGAGGAAGGAGAGAGGAAGAACAGCTGTGAGCCTGAGCCTTCTTGCCAGCAGAGGAGAGGGGGACAGAGAAGGGAGCCCAGGAAGGAATGGCCAGAGAAGGCGGAGAGTAATGCCTCAGAAACCAACATTGATGCTGCTTGAAAGGGCAAATATTAGGTGAAAACTATAAGAAATAGCCTTTTCTTTCTTTTCCTTCACTCCTTCTTTCTCTCCCTCCCTCCTTCCCTGCCTCCCTCCCTCCCTGTAGATCCAAAACAGGGAGTACTGGCAAGCTTATATGGTTCAACCTAATTAAACCAAAACCGGAAAAAGTAACTCATGGCCTTGGATTGAGCAATTTTGGTAGATGTTGGAGCAGAAGCCAGATGAGCCAGGGAGAATGGATGGAAAGGAGATAAGGGAATAGAATTGAGAGGATTGGATTGGCTGAGTGCAGCAGATGGGGTTGAGAGGGGGTAAAATCAAGGGTAATTCCTAAGTTTCAGGTTTGGCAGCTGAGTGAGTGAATGGTTGGGTCAGCCAGTGAAATAGGAGGGGAGATATATACCGATCATGAGAATACTGTGAGTGTGGGGTAGGTGGAATTTGAGATACCTCTGAGTCTTCTGAGTGGGAAGAGCTGACATTTGGACCTGTGGAGCCAGTCATTACCATCTATGTGTTCCTGACTCCCACATATGGACTGTTGGGAGTCAAAAGCATGTAGATGGGAATGAAATGAGTCAATGAGTATTTATTGAGCATCTACTAAGTGCAAGCATTTTTCTAGGTGCTAGGGTTACACCAATGAATAAGACAAAGACCCCTGCATTGTGGAGCTTATAGTCTAGGAGGGAGGTCAGACAATAGGCAAATAAACATAAAATAACATTAAGCTGTAGTAGATGCTGTATAGAAAATAAAGCAGGGCAAGGGACTAGGGAGTAGGAGGAATACTCCCTATTTTTGGTAGGTTAGTCAGGGAAGGTCTCTCTCAGAAGGCAACATATGAGCAGAGCTCCGGAGGAGGTGAGGGGATGAACCATGTAGATACATGGGGGAGATAGGTAGGAAGAAGCTGGGGAAGTTTGAGGACCAACAAGGAGGCTGGTGAGGCAGGAGTGGAGTGAGTGATGAGGTTGGAGAGGTGGGCAAAGGCCAGATTTTGTAGGGCTCCATAGGCTTTGGGAAGAAGGGTGGAAAGTCCTTTGTAGATAACCCCAAGCTGCTGGATTGGGCAGGAAGAGAGAATTCCTGAAAGACTTCCCCTTCCATCAGAGCCCCATAGCCAGAAAAGCCCCTTTGTGCAGTGGGTGGGTGGCCCATTCTGGCTGGGGGAAGGCTGTGCTTGGTCCTGAGGTCTGCTCCTTGGGGGGGCTAGACAATGGGCCCCTTGTAGTTGGACTTGAGGGCCAAGTGGCCCTCTCAACGATGGGATTCCTCAGCCAGGAGGCATGTGACCCCAAGACCTTGGCTTCTTGCCAGAGGGTCTGGGCCTGCTGCTGGGGAATGGGGTGGTGAGATGGGGAGAGGTCGGAAGAAGGGCGAGGGAAACCACTGTGGAGCCCTGTCTCAGGCTGAAGGAGGTGGAGAGATGGGCAGGGAGGGGGCTGTAGCTCTGCTTGAGGGAGCGGGGGAGGGCTGCAGAGCTGGAAACTGTGGACAACATCAACAAATGGTTTCCACAGCAGGGTAGGAGGGAGGGGCTGGCCGCCCCTGGGCCTAGTGGGTAGGGGCAGGCAGAAGAGGGCCTGACAAACCTACATCTTCTGTCCCTTCAGAAGAGAGAGCATGGAGCTGGAGAGGATTGTCAGTGCAGCCCTCCTTGCCTTTGTCCAGACGCACCTCCCAGAGGCTGACCTCAGGTAGAAGCAGCTCTTCTAGAAGGGTCATGCTAGGGTCAGGGTCGGAGCTGCTGGGCAGCACTCTGGGCCCTGGCCCATGGAAAGACGGGGTGGGAAGCCCTCAGCTTTAATCCTGAGGTGGGGGAGGGCTGATTATGATCTGCTGGTATGGCCTTACATCTTAACCTGTCCCTGTCACCTTGCTGGACAGATGGGAAACCAAAGCTCTGTGGGAGGGTGGGATACTTTCTGGCTTCAAGGCTTGAAGTCTGGCTCATGGACCCAGTGAAGCCGAGGGCTTGAGTCTCAGGCTAGGTGGGGTTGCTGGAAGTATCCAGTGTCCTACCCAGGGCTTGTCCTGTCCCCTTCCTGCAGCGGCTTGGATGAGGTCATCTTCTCCTATGTGCTCGGGGTCCTGGAGGATCTGGGCCCCTCAGGGCCATCAGAGGAGAACTTCGATATGGAGGCCTTCACTGAGATGATGGAGGCCTATGTGCCTGGCTTTGCCCAAATTCCAAGGTGGGATCTGGCTGGGTCAAAGAGGGAGTGGAGGGCTGGCAGATGGTGGAGGGTGGGCAGAGTTGTCCTCTTACCACCGTCCTGTTTTTTTCAGGGGTACAATAGGGGACATGATGCAGAAGCTCTCAGGGCAGTTGAGTGGTGCCAGGAACAAAGGTGAGTTTGGGGACTGGGCACTTGGATGACTCAATACCCCCATCCCCTAAAGCCCTGGCAAACCTGATGCTCTCTCTGCTTCCTTAAGAGAACCTGCAACCACAGAGCTCTGAGGTCCAAGGTCAGGTGCCCATCTCCCCAGAGCCCCTGCAGCAGCCTGAAAAGCTCAAAGAAGAGACCAGGGCTTCTCCTACTGCTGCTGGAGACACCCAGGATGAGGTACTGCTAGAGGAGGGTACTGGTGAGAGAATTAGGGATCAGGAAAGAAGGAAGTACTGCTTCTTGTCAACATCTCTGCCCACAGGCAGCTGGTGCTGAGAAGGAGCTGCTGCCAGGGGTGGATGTTCTCCTGGAGGTGTTCCCTACCTGTTCAGTGGAGCAGGCCCAGTGGGTGCTGGCCAAAGCTCGGGGAGACTTGGAAGAAGCTGTGCAGATGCTTGTTGAGGGGAAGGAGGAGGGGCCTCCAGCCTGGGACGGCCCCAACCAGGTATCCTCTGCTAGACATCCCCCTCAACCCAAATAGCCTCAGCCACGTTCCACCTTAGTGTTAAGCGCCTGCCCCTAGCCTATCCCTGTCTGCTTCTGCTGGTGCCCTAGGGTTTAGACTAGGCTTCCCTTCTCTGCAGGACCTGCCCAGGCGCCTCAGAGGCCCCCAAAAGGATGAACTGAAGTCCTTCATCCTGCAGAAGTGAGTCTGGGCTGGGCTGGGCTAGACCCTTAGAGGGTCTTCCCAGAGTGGCAGGAGCTTCACCCAGCCAGTTTTTGGCAGGTACATGATGGTGGATAGCGCAGAGGATCAGAAGATTCACCGGCCCATGGCTCCCAGGGAGGTGAGAGGGTTATGGCTGCTGGACGTGTGGAGTGGGTGGGATGTCTCCTGGCTTCTGCTGCTCACTGCCCAATTGCCTGACAGGCCCCCAAGAAGCTGATCCGATACATCGACAACCAGGTAGTAAGCACCAAAGGGGAGCGATTCAAAGATGTGCGGAACCCTGAGGCCGAGGAGATGAAGGCCACATACATCAACCTCAAGCCAGCCAGAAAGTACCGCTTCCACTAAGGCATTCGCCAGACTCTGCCGGAGCCTTCTAGGCTCAGATCCCAGAGGGATGCAGGAGCCCTACACCCCCACACAGGGCCCACCCAAACTCCTGTCCCCCTTGTCCATCCTGCTCTCTACTTCCTTGCCCCACAGTGTTGACCTCCTCTTGGAGCTGCCCACGGGCACAGTAAAGGTGGCCCCAGGAAGGTGTGAGTGCATTCTGGTCATTTCTGCTCAGAATTGGGGTATTGTGTCTGTCTGACCTCTCTCCCAACTTCATATCCCTTATCTCCAACAGGGCAGCAGCACCAGGCAAGAGGGGGTAAAAAGCTCTTTATTTGAAGCTCCAGGGTGGGGCAGGGCATCCGCCTCTAACCAGAGGCCCCTACAGTCCAGTTTCCCTACAGTTCATAGTCAGGCCCCGCCACACAGTCCAGCTGTGCCCCATCGGCAGGCAGATCAGACCTGCAGGTTGACAAAGGGTGCAAAGCCTGCCATGTCCTGCAGCAGCACCAGGGCCTGATGCAGCGGCGGCTCCACGTCGATGTCCACGCCGCGCTTCCGCAAGCGGCTCAGGCTGGGCTCGGCCACATGGTGGCAGTGCCGCACCCGCAGCGAGCGCAGCGCCGGGCAGTACTCGGCCAATGTCCTGGGGGAGGAGCCGGGTGAGGCTAGGGACCAGAAGCCGCTACGCCCACGGTGGGGGAGCCAGCAAAGCCCCTGTCTCCCTCAAACTCAGAGCATTCTTTTTCCCTCCATAAACGAGGGAGGGAGCCCGGATGGGGTCATACATTCAATGTCTCCAGTGAACCAGAGACTTCCTCCTGTCTCTTAAAGGGGGAAACTGCTCCTCAGCTCCGCCCAGGATTTCAAGGTTTTCCCCTTGTTGAAGAAAAGCCAGAAACTTGACTGCATGTGAAATCTGCCAATGTGTAAATACTGGTTCAAAAAAGTTTTTTTTTTAAACTATGGGCTCTATGGTCTAGGCAATCCTAGAGGCCTTTCCTGGTCTGAACGGGGGTGCTGTGGTATCCAGACACCACCGTTCCGCCCTGCGACAGCTACAGCCTGCCCCTAACCCAGAGGCTAAGTAAGTGATTGCCCTTTTCCCAACCCACCGATCCCATGCCCAGGCACCTGACGCCGTCGCTTCCGACGCGGAGGCAGCCGGTTAGGTCGAGGTGCTCGAGTTCCGGGCAGTTCCGAGCCAACTCCTGGACTGCGGCGTCCCCCACATTGGCGTTGACTGCCAGCGAGAGGCTGCGGAGGCCCGCGCCGCGCCTCTGCGCCAGGTATACGATGGCCTCATCCTTGAGCTGACGGCAGGCGGTGAGGTCCAGCTCCTCAAGGGCCGGACAGCGGTCGGCGAGGCCGCGCAGCGCCAGGCCGTCTACCCAGTCACAGTGCGCGAGGGAAAGGCGCTGCAGGCGGGGGCAGCCCTCCGCCAGCGCCCCCAGCGCGCGGCGGCTCAGTTGCCCGCAGCCAGCCAGCGCCACGCTCCGCAGCTGCGGATTCCGCGTCAGCACCGGCACCAGATCCTCGTCCGACAACCATTCGTGACACGGCGCCAGCGCCAGCTCCTGCAGCCCCTCAGCGTCCCGCAGCAGCCAGGCCAAAGCGGCCCGCGGGATCTGCGGACCCACCTGCGGGCAGGGAGGCACCTCGACTCTCAGCTGGTCCCGGGGGCGGGACGGGCGCTGCCTCTCCGCCCCTGAAGAGTTCTTTCCCGTCAGCAACCCGCCCTCGGGGTTTGCCACCTGCCCTCCCGGGAGAGACCCCAAGCGCCTTCTGAGTTGATACCCGGCCCTCGCCCTTTGAGAGTACTTCCCGCGGGGTCCGGCAGGGTAGACAGGGGCTGGGGGCTGGGCTGGAGGCGGGGCGGGGGCGGTACCCAGACGGGGCGAGGCTCTGGCTCCCGGCTCACCTGAGCGGCGTCGAAGCGGCGCAGCCCCGCCAGGTGCAGCTGCACGAGCGCCCGGAAGGCCCGGCTGACGCGCTGCAGCCGGAGCAGCTGGCGTAGCGGCACCCGGCTCAGGACATGTGGGAGCAGCACGTCTTCCCAAGGCAGGTCCAGGAGCCTGCGGGTAAAGGGGCGGTGGCGTCCCCGGGCCGCTGTCACCTACGAGTCCGCCTCCGTTATGCTTCTGCGCCCCGGCTCCTAAGAGCGGTCCCCAGACCCGGCCCAGTTCGGCTCCCCTCCCCCAGGTCCTTCTTCCCTTTCTCGGCCCCTCCCGTGCTCGGTACCTGACGGCTCCGGGCTCTTGCTCCCCTCCGGACGGCTCCATCGGTGGCTCCATCGGCTGCCTATTGCGCGTGCGCAGTAAGGTCTTCTTGCTTTGGCCTTGGGAGAGGCCTCAGCGAACCCGCCTCCTTGGGCTGTAGAGACAGACCGATTCAATCGAGTGCGGTCTCACTGAGGATCCTATCTGAAAGCGTTCCGGATGGATCTCGAAACTGAGGGCGGAACAGACTGGTGGTGTAACATCAGACCTCGCCTTCTCGGCTACAGGGCTTGAGAACTGAAGCTGGAGAACGCAATGGTGCAGCAGAGACTGGCTCTTTTTTCGTCTTGGGCCAGTGGCCGCCTCTGAGTGAAGTGGTGATGGGAGGAGCAGGCAAAGCCAAACGCGGAAGGGGCGGAGCCAAGACTCCAAGGTTCTGGGCCTACTCTTTGCCCTCTGGTCACGTTTAGCGACTTGGAAAAATGGGGAGAAACTATCCAGGCTTACTGTCTGGCACATAGTAGGTGCCCAGTAATTGCTGAATGAATTAAATGGGCGAAGCTAGAATTTTTTTTTCCTTCATCAAGCAAACTTGCCCAAATCTCTCGTTCCTGGTTAGTTATGAAGTACAGAGCTGTCCAGCCCCTTCCACGCCCGGACGATTTGGAATGGATTTGCACCTCCAGGGGAGAGACAGAGGGGGCGCTAAGAAGGATTATCTCTCCACTTGGGTCCCTATCTTTTCCCCAGGAGGTCTAGAGCCCTGAGAAGAATGAGTGCTCAGCTCAGCCCACCAGGAGTACCGCTTCTCGGTTGACCTGGGGATTTAGTTGTGGGGTTTGGGACTGGGCCCGCCCTGGGGCAGTGATGTCCCAGAACTCTAGGCTCAGACTTTGGGCGGCCCTCTCACCGCGTCCGCAGTTCCTGGTTCCAGGGTCCGCTCCGGGGAATTCCCGGAGCAGTGCTTTCCCCATCATTCATTGGTGGGGAGGGTGTGAAGGACGCTGAGGGCTACTCCTGTCGCCGAGAGCTGCCCCCTAGCAGGGCTGCGCTCTCCCTTCGTGCAGCCGCTTCATCTCCCTCTGCATAACGAAAACTGCTTCCCATCCATTATTTCATCAGGGCTTCGGGCACTTCTGCAAGGTGAGCAGCTCTGTGCTGTTACTCCATTTTAAAAGATGGAACCGAAGCCCTAGAGAGGACGCGCCTTGTCCAGGGTCAAGCGAGTCGCGATTGAGAATTCAGGCATCCTAGTTTTCCCAGAATCCCTTCCACCCTCCCCCACCCCCAATGCAGCAAGAAGGGAGAAGCCAGCAAAGGGAAGGACCAAAGAGGGTTATCTTGGGTGAGGGATTTGCTTCCTCTTCCTTAGCCTGCTTGGGGAGGGGGTAGATGGGAGGACCGACCTCCGCTAAGATAGAACCTTGTAGGCGCGCACCACCGCGGGACGCGCGCCTCCTCCTCCTCCCTGCTTTGTTCGCGCCTCTGCGCCTGCGCAGTGCGACAAATCTGGCGCTGTCCCCTTCAGCACCACGCGGAGCCCGCGCCGCCCCTCCCCGCGGTGAGCCCCGCGCGCCCCCGCCGCGCAAGTCCTCGCGCCCCCTGACTGCCCGAACAGGCCCCTTCTTCATTCCGAGGTCACCACCTGCATGCCCTGGCGTTCCCAAGGAGAGCAGTTGCCATAGTAACTCTGGCAGTGCTTTCCTAAAATAGCTGGGCCCCCTTCTACCTTGGCCAAGGGCACAAGGGTTGCCTGCTTCCCACTTCCTTCACTCCCGGCATCATCCCGTCTAACCATTTACCCTCAGATAGCCAGGACACCTAACTCAGGCAGCAAGGAAGTTCTTTCTAAAGTCTGACTAACATCCCTCCTGCTGCATCCTGGGCGAGTGGTCAGGGTTGGGTCTCCTGGGTCCGAAACGTAGAACCCCTTAGGGCTTGAGGCACTGTTTCCTAGATCTCTCTCCCATAAGTTGATGGTCTCTTGGATTTAGGGGGCGGGTCCGGTCTACACCCATTCGGTGTGCTTGGCGCGGCCGCGTGCTCGTGGGGGCGGGAGCGCGTGTGGCATGTAACAGGTCATGTGGCAACCTCCTAGGGACACGCGTGGGGTCTGGAGCGGGACACGCGAGTGCAGCTGGGTCTGGCGTGTGGCTCAGGGGGCGGTGGAGGAAAGGGACCAGGACACGATTGGGGTGGGGCACGTGAGGGTCTTGGGAACAGAACCGGGGGTTCCATACATCCTCCCCCTCGTCAAGGGCGGGTCTCAGGTTGGCGGGAGAGCCCAGCGGGGACCTAGCGTCGAGAAGGGGGGCCAGCCTCCGGGGCTCAGGGCCCCGGAAAAGGGCGGGGGGGTGGGTGGGGGGATTAGCTCTGCCTGAGCCGCGCGTAGGGGGGAGGGGGAGGGACTGAGAGGCAGGCGGGCCTGGAGCAAGCGGGAGCAAGCGGGAGCCGCGCTGCCTTCACAGCTGAGCTGGGCCCAGCCTCTTCCCCGCCTCTCCTCGGCCCCAGCTCCAGGCGAGCAGCGGTGAGTACTGAGGCAGCTCCAGTCGGAGCTGCACTGGGGATGCCCTGGGCCCCCACTGAGCTTCAGAAACCTGCCTGGCAGGGTTGCTGCTCCTGACCTCTGCCCCTACCCTGCATTGCCACCAGAGGCCCCTTTACCCCTTTAAGGGCTGGACAAGATCTGTCATTCCCTTAAGAGGGAAGGAGGGACAGGGTCTGGTGCAGCCTTCCCACCCAGAGACAGGTGACTGGTGGGGGTTGGGGGAGAGGGTGTGTGTTCCTGTTTAGTGTGTGTGTGAGGGTGCATCTGTATTTGTATGTGATTGTGACTAGTAGGTCCCTGTGAGTGTCTGATACGCCTGTGTCTGTGTGCATTGGAGAATGAGGCCCTGTGAGTATATTTGTGTGTCTCTTTGTGTATTCTTGTTTGATGACAGTGTGTGTGTAAAATAAGCATGTGCCTTTCCATTACACACATATTTGTTATGACTGTGAGAGTGTATGAGGGTGTGTCTTTGGGTAATGTGTATATGTGTGTGCCTGGGTCTGTGTGTGCAGGAGATATTGCCTATAAATATGTTTAACTGTGTACTGACATTATTTGTCCCTGTGTGTGTGTGTGTGTGTGTGTACCTGTATGAAGAACAAGAATGTCCCTTTCCCATTCAGCATGTATACATTAGGAGTAGGGGCCTCAGTTCTCCTCCCCTTCACCATATGCCTCTCAGCCCCTCATCGTCCCTATATAACACCCCCCCCCAATCTTCCTGCCTTTCCTTCTAGGAGGCCTGAATTCTCTCTCACTGAGTGAGGGGCCTCCATAAGAGAGACTGTGGGGGACCCATGGCTGTAACATGGTTTTGATTGGCTGACACTCCTGGTCCAGAGGATGGGCTACCAGCCTTCCCCCTCCTCCACCAGAAGTAGCTCCAAAATGCCACAGGGACTCTGAACTCACTCAACTTCTGAAATAGCTTCCTTTCTCCTCCCAGGGTGATGCTCAGGGCCCTCAGACAGAAGGAAAGGAGCCAGGGGCCTACTGGGGACACAATTCTTTTCTCCTCAGGCCTCCATGGAAGTAGTCCAAGTAGGAGGCCTGATCATTTCTAGGGGTGGGATCAATGATGCCATATTCCCAGGACAGGCTAGGCCCCTGGCTCTCAGATGCCCTATCCTGCTTTCCCCTTCTGTCTCTGCTCTCCTGCCCATCCACCTTCCCTGCAGCTCACCCCCTGCTCCCCCTTCCTCTCTTGCAGGCCTGTCTGAAGAGCATGCTGCCCCCTCACTCCCCGCCTGGCCTCGCCATCCCTGCCCCCCCAGCCTGACCCCCGGCCCCAGCATGGCCCAGGGTGCCATGCGCTTCTGCTCGGAGGGTGACTGTGCCATCTCCCCACCACGATGCCCACGCCGCTGGCTCCCCGAAGGCCCGGTGCCACAAAGCCCCCCAGCCAGCATGTATGGCAGCACAGGCTCCCTGCTACGGCGGGTGACAGGTCCAGGTCTCCGAGGCCGGGAACTGGGACGTGTGACAGCACCCTGTACACCCCTGCGTGGGCCCCCCTCACCCCGTGTTGCTCCCTCACCCTGGGCACCCTCTTCACCCACTGGGCAGCCCCCACCAGGGGCTCGGAGCTCTGTGGTCATATTCCGCTTTGTGGAGAAGGCCAGCGTGAGGCCACTGAATGGGCTACCTGCTCCCGGAGGCTTGAGTCGGAGCTGGGACCTGGGTGGGGTCTCTCCTCCCCGGCCCACCCCAGCCCTGGGGCCTGGCTCCAACCGGAAGTTGCGACTAGAGGCATCCACATCAGACCCACTCCCAGCCGGAGGATGCTCAGCTGGGCCTGGCAGCCGGGGCCTTATACATGGGCCACCAACCCAACCTCAGGTTGGGGCAGATGGCCTTTACTCCTCTCTCCCCAATGGGCTGGGGGGACCCTCTGAGCACCTGGCCAAGCTATTCCCAGGACCTGCTGACACTGGACTCCTGAACCAGGTATGCGACCTCCCTTGGGCTCCCTGGAACCCCAGAGCCCCAGCATGGGGGCAAGGCTTGGTCCCTTGGCAGTTTTGCGCCTGTCAGCTGTTCACTCTGAATTCTTTGATCTGTCCTAAATCTGTCTCTTTCTTGCCCCATATGTTTGTCCCTGTGCCTCGGCACCTCTATATCTGTCCCTGTGTGTTTTTCTTTCTGTGTTTCTGTCCCATGTTCTTGTGTCTTTGTATGTGTGGCTTTACCTCTGGGTGCTTGTGTCTGTCTCTCCCTCCTTGGCTTAGGGAGACACCTGGTCCTCCCCCCGGGAAGTCTCCTCTCATGCCCAGAGAATTGCTCGAGCCAAATGGGAATTCTTCTATGGCTCCCTGGACCCCCCAAGCTCAGGTAAGATCCTGGATGAGGCAAGGGGAACAGGGCAGGGCCTTCCCCACAGCAGCTGAGGCATGGTAGGGAGCCTTCCTTGTAACCTCCCCCCAGTCCTTTCCTGGGCTCATGAGTTGGCTAATGCCTCTCCAGGTCTTAAACTTTCCATCTGTGTTATGATGGCGGGTCAGGGGATCATGGCTGGGTTGGGCACCTGGAGGAAGCTAGATTGTGGAGAGAGGGGATGGCAGGATATCAAGGGTCATTCTGTGAAGTAGAAAAGAAGCTGGTCTCCCTTGGGCCCCTCAAAGTTATTTGACAAGAACTTGATTTGAAACGAGCTTCACTGGCACCAGGAACAAGCTGAGTTTGTAGCAGGAAGAATGGTGGCTAAACAGTGAAAGAATCTTCCTGCCAATATGAGGCAACGGGAAAGAGCTCCTTCCTAGAACAGTATCAAGACAGGTAGCTGACAGAATAACCTCTTGACCAGGATGCCTATACATACTGCAGGTGCTAAGCCCCCAGAGCAGGCCCCCCCATCTCCACCTGGGGTGGGCTCAGGGCAGGGCTCTGGGGTGGCTGTGGGGCGAGCAGCCAAGTACTCCGAGACGGACCTGGACATGGTGCCCCTGAGGTGCTACCGCGAGACGGACATCGATGAGGTGCTGGCTGAGCGGGAGGATGCTGACTCGGCCATCGAGAGTCAGCCCAGCTCTGAGGGCCCGCCTGGCACTGCCCGCTCACCTGCCCCACATCCCGGTCCATGCTTTGGCCCTTGTCCCAGCCTGGGCAGTGGAAATGAGGACGAGGACGAGGCAGGTGGGGAAGAGGAAGTGGACGACGAGGTGTTTGAGGCCTCAGAGGGGGCCCGGTGAGTGCGGGAATGGGAAAAGAACGAGGCTTACTCCTTGGAGTTGGCCCAAAGGCAGAGCTGGGGTCAGAGGGACTGGAATGGAGATGAGGGTGGGCCTGGGAGGGTCAGGACCAAGCTAGCAGTGCTGACAGGGCGATGCAGCCGGAGATTCTGGACAGAGGCCCCAGGCCTGCCAGAATGCTGGGGATGTGGGGGGTGGGGTATGTGTCAGCAAGAGCCCATAGGGTAGGGAGCAGCCAGAAAAGGGGTTCTAGTGAAGAACAGGAGGTAGAGTGAGGAGGAAAGGGGTTCTAGTGAAGGACAGGAGGTAGAGTGAGAGGCCAGGGGCCAGAATCAAGCCTGGGGGTGTGGGAGCATCAATCCTGATCCTGGATCCTGGCAGGAGAATGGGGAGTGTGGGGGCTTTCCTCTCCGTCTCACACCCCACTGCAGCGTGGAGCCTCATCTTCTTCTCCTAAGATGTTGCCAGAAATAGAAATGGGATGGCAGGAGGGGAGAGGATCAGGGAGAAGGAGGAGAAAGGGAGATTAGCAGGGAGGAAGAGAGGAAGGGATTGGGTGCTAGGGACGGTAAGGCTGGGGTGCCTCGGGGCACTGAACAGCTTGGCGAACCCGTAGTGGGGACTCCCTACCCAGGTGGCTTTTTTAGAGGGCTGGGGCCTGTGAAAAGGAGGTGACAGTCCCCTCCACAGAGTCATGTGAGAATTCAATGAAAGGCTACCCAAGAGCTGTCCTTTGGGCCCCTGATCAGAGACTCTCCCTGCCCCTGCAGGCCAGGCACCCGGATGCCTCACCCTGGGCCTCTCAAGTCGCCTGTGCCCTTTCTGCCTGGGACCAGCCCCTCGGCTGATGGGCCTGACTCTTTCAGTTGCGTGTTTGAAGCCATCTTGGAGTCTCACCGAGCCAAGGGCACCTCCTACACCAGCCTTGCCTCGCTGGAGGCCCTGGCCTCACCTGGCCCAACCCAGAGCCCCTTCTTCACCTTTGAGCTGCCTCCCCAGCCCCCTGCCCCCCGGCCTGACCCTCCTGCTCCCGCCCCACTTGCACCTCTTGAGCCAGATTCTGGTACCAGCTCCGCTGCTGATGGGCCTTGGACACAGAGACGGGAGGAAGAAGAGGCAGAAGCTAGAGCCAAGCAGGCCCCAGGGAGGGAGCCCCCCAGTCCCTGCCGCTCAGAGGACAGCTTTGGGCTGGGGGCAGCACCCCGGGGCAGGTGAGTGATTCCTTTGGTTCCTCAGACCTGAGGTCCCCAGGGCCCCAGGAACAGCTACTCCAAGGGACAGAGCCCTAGTGCAAAGGGGCAGTTTATATTCCCGACCCCTGATAGAGTGGTTAGGGGGTGCAGATGTCTGTTTTTCCATTTGGAGGGCTACTTCCACTGGCTGTGAGGGGGAGCCCACCCCCTTGGTCTCAGATCCAGTGACTTGAAAAACCATGATTCAAGATTTAAGAGTCCTCAGAGAACACCCTCCTTTCTTTCTAGGAAGGCCCTTCCTTCCCCAGGCAGAGCCTCTAACCTGCTTAGAATTCTTGTGACCTTACTCCACCCAGCCTGGAGGCTTCTCCCAAAGACGCAGCCACCAGCCTCTCCCATTGCCTCCCCCCCTTGTCGCCGCCCCCTTCAGTCAGGAGCCTCTCACCCTTCTCCAGGAAGTCCTTTCACCAGTCTAACCTTTCTGCTCTCCCTCAGCCAGCTACCCTCTCAGTCACGGAAGCCATGGCAACGGGAGGGGGTGGCCAGGGAGACAGGGTTGCCTAGCAACCAGGAGTTTCCGGCCTCTGTCTCTGGGGTGACAGGTGGCTTTGCGAGTAGAGCAGCTGGGATGGCGGGAAGGGAAGGGGAGGAGGAGACGGGATGAATGGGGTGCATGTTGACCCCCGTTCCCCTCTACCCCAGAGTCTGCCTCTTTGTGGGTGGAAGAGAAGGACCAAGGCAAAGGCTAGAACAAGAAAGACATCGGAGGGGGAAGGTGTCCCTGCTGCCCTCACATCACTGTTTGACCCTCCACTGTTCTGCTCTGGCAGCCTATCTATATCCCACCTTAGCCCAGATTCTCAGAGATAGAGGACTATATTCTCAGAAGGGGCCAATGTGGAGATAGGAAATCTGTGCCTAATAGCGAACTCCATAGGGAGCTTTGGAGAAGCAGTCACAATTCCCACAGCAGAAAGATGGATGTGGGTTAAATTTGATGTAGGACTTCTACAGAGAGATGGTAAGGATGGCATCAGTTGATAGAGAAAAACTGTACAGTGTCCTCTGGTGAAAAGAAAAATGCCTTCCCCATGTCCCAAACACCCCCTCTCTGTCTTCCGGTTTTGGAGGCAGAGGAAGGATCGGAATGGCCCCAGAGGGACTGCCCTACCTCTGAGCTAGTGTTCTACCCCGGCAGCGAACCACCACTGAGCCAGCTGGTGTCCGACTCGGACTCAGAGCTGGACAGCACAGAGCGGCTGGCCCTGGGAAGCACAGACACCTTGTCCAATGGGCAGAAAGCAGACCTGGAGGCCGCGCAGCGCCTAGCTAAGAGGCTATACCGACTAGACGGCTTCAGGAAGGCCGATGTGGCCCGGCACCTGGGCAAGAAGTAAAGTCATTGGTTGGGATTGAGAATGGGGGGAGGAGGGATGCATCCTTGGGCAGCACCGCCACCTCCCCTCTAACAGCCCCGGGGCTGTAGGTAAGCCCACCTGGCCCCTCGAGCCTTTCCCTTGAGACTCCACCTGCCTATCTACCCTGCCCACAGCAATGACTTCAGCAAACTTGTGGCTGGCGAGTACCTCAAGTTCTTTGTCTTCACGGGCATGACTCTGGACCAAGCTCTCAGGTGGGTGTTAAGCCTTTTGAGGGCAGCTCCCACTCTCCAGGCCTGGTGTGCAGGGCCTCTGCTGTGCCTCCTCCGAGCCCCTATGCCTCTCCTAAGGTGCCCCGATGTCATCCTTCCCAGGATGGCTGGGCATGGCCAAAAGCTGGGGCTGCCTGGTTAGGGGACCTTGGGTAGGGGTGACATGCTCCCTCTTCCCCACTCCCCAGGGTGTTTCTGAAGGAGCTGGCCTTAATGGGTGAGACCCAAGAACGGGAGCGTGTGCTGGCCCACTTCTCCCAGAGATACTTCCAGTGCAATCCTGGAGCCCTGTCCTCAGAGGGTGAGGAAGCCAGGGGCCAGGGCTTTCCCAGCTGGTCACTAAGGAGATGGACACAGTGTGTGTGCATAGGAGCATGAGTGTGTGGGGGGGAGTGAATGCATGCACAGGCTTGCAGGCGTGTGAGCATGCATGTGTGCAGTGCTGACATGGCTTCCGGAAGGTGGAACTGTGTCTAGTGTGTGTGGTCAGGAGCGGGTGTGTTTGCACGCCACTGTCCACAGACAATGTGATTTGGCTGCACTGGGCAGCGTAACTGTGAGGGGCCCACTGGCTTGTGTGTAGTGCATACTCACCGAGGCCCGTGGGTGTTGGGGAAAAGGTCCCTTTTAGGGATCTGCTGGAAAAGAGAGGGCTTTGGCAGGAGGGTTCACTATGGGGTTCAAGACTTAAAAAAGTGTGACTGGGGGCCAAAGAGGGTAGGAGATAAACTGGAAGGCTGGGGAAGATGGCTGTGGGAAGAACCTGTGGGATGTGGCCGAGGCTGAATGTTAACTCTCCCCTAGACGGTGCGCACACGTTGACCTGCGCCCTCATGCTACTCAACACCGATCTCCACGGCCATGTGAGTGGGGGGCTGGCGGGAGGGAGCCCAGAAAATTGCATCCAGAGACTTCAAGGCCTGGGGCCTAAGGCCCCCCTCACAGTCCTCTGTGCCCTCACTTAGAACATTGGGAAGCGCATGACCTGCGGAGACTTCATCGGAAACCTGGAGGGCCTCAATGAAGGCGGAGACTTCCCCAGGGAGCTGCTCAAGGTGGGGGGGGGGGGCGGGGGGAAGGGGGACGGGCAGGGTAGAGGTAGCTGGAGGGGAGGGATGGGGACCTGTCGGCGGCAGCGTGGAAATCGGTGAGGTGAGGGGCTTGCCGGGCCCCCAGCTCCTGCTGCTGGAGCCTGGGCTCTCGTGACTCAGCTTGGGGACCGCCCCCTCCCCCAACCCCCACACGCAGGCTCCCCCGGAACATGCGCACTTGTGTGCAGTCTTGGCCGTGCGCAGCGGGGGAGGGGAGACAGCTCTCGAAAACCCGTGATCAGGCGGCCTTGGACCCTGCATTTGCTTTAAGTGCCCCTCCTCCAGTGTTCACCAAGGATGGGAGGGGTCTCAGCATAGGGCAGGGACACACAGGTGCCCCCGCTTCCCTCCTCCCCCTCCACCCGTTGCCCCAGGATATATGGCCACAAAGGCCCTTCTGGTACCACTGTGCTGGAGGGACCCGGAGGTAGAGGGGCCCAAGAGGGACAAAGGCTTTTCCAAGGTCTCAAAGCCAGTTACATTCAACTGGGGACTAGACACTGCTCTTCTAACTCCCCTGTTGCCGGGCCCTGCTCCCACAGGCCAGCACTTGAGGGATTAACTACACAGGACTGGTATGCATGGGAGGAGGAGAGGGTGTCCCGGTCCTGTAGTTTCACTCCTTTCCCTGATCCGTTGGTTTTATGCAGGGAGGCCTGGACTCATTTGAAACCTCTAGGGTTGGCAAAGGGGTCTCTGGGCCATCACATACATGTGACTGCACAGGAGTGTCCTTGGGTGCGTCTGTGAGCTTGGGGTGTGTTGGGCTTCTGAGTTTGGGAATGTATCGGAATTGGGGGGATGTCCATTGTGAGTTTGGGGTGTCAAAGAGTTGGGGTGTATGCTTGAGTTGAGTTGTGTATATATAATGTTTATGCTTTAGGGTGTTGGTAAATCAGGGGGTTTGGCTTGGGGTATGTTCGTGCTTTAAGGGCTTACGATTTAGAGAGTGTATCTGTGTTGGGGTGTACATTGGGTCTTTCTGTGTATTAGGGTGTATATCTACAAATTGCTGTCTGATTTATGGCACGCATCCATGAGCAAGGATTGTGTGAGTTAAAGACTAAATTCTGAGGGGTGCATCTGAATTTACAATGTCTGTGCGTTGGGGAGAGTGTGGATTGGTGATCTGGCTAGTTGGGGTGTATGTCTGTAAACTGGGCTGTGTGTACGTGAGTTGGGGTATAGCCTCGGGCGTTTGAGCTATCTTCGGTTGAGTGAGTTGGCTGAGGCTGGTGCGATTCCATGGCTGCCTCCATTCCTGCCCCTCCTGCGTGGCCTGTCCTGGCTCGGGGCGGGGAGAGGGGGCCGAGGGGACGCGTTCCCACCTCCTCCGCCCCTGGTCCCCTCAAGGTGACGAGCCAGGAGGGAGCTGCAGACCCTACAGGGTCAGCCCACCTTCTTCGACGCAGGCCTAGGGGCTTCCGGCGCCACCGCCATCACCCCCGTTGCCGCGCATGTTCGCGCACGGGCCCAGGCTGGTCCCCGAGGCCCCGCCCCCATGGCGCGCGCCGCGGGCCCCTGCGCTGTCGGACGCCTCCATTTTGCGCCGTCCCCGCCCCCAGCCCTCGCCCTCCCTCCCCGTCGGCGGCCCCCTCCCGCTCGCGCGGAGCCGCGGAGCCGACAGCGCCGCCGCCGCCGCCGCCGCCGCGGCGCGCTCTGTGCGTCGGTGGGAGCCGGGCCGGGCTCGGGCCGGGCCGCTCGCGCCGGCTGTCGGGGGAGCCGTCCGCGGGCCGTCCGGGCCGTCCGGGCCGAGGGCGGGCGGGGGCATGGCTCGGGGCCGCGGCGCGCCGGCCGGGCCAGCATGATCGGCGTCAACAGCATCCACAGCAGCGCTGGGCGGCTGCGCTCGCGCTCGCTGTGCTCCGTGCGCTACGGGCGCACCCACCGCGGCGCGGAGACCCTGTGCTACGGCTGGCCGCAGCGCTCGCGCAGTCTCAAGCCCGTGCTCTACACCGACCTGGTGGTCAGCCGCCTGCAGAGCCGCAAGAAGAAGAAGGCGGTGAGGGCGTTGGGGCCGCGGCCCACGCCAGCCGGGGCGGGGGGGCGGCCGCGGGGGTTGTGGGGGGCGGTGTGGCTGAGGGGGCGGTGTGAGGGAGGCACCGAAGGTGGCACGAGCCGAAGGGGCATCGGTCGGACTGAGGCGGGGGGGCCGAGCCCGGCAGGGACAGAGCCCATGGGTAGCCAGGAGTGGGCATGGACTGGAGGGGGAAGGGCACAGACGGTCGGATTAAGGTGGGCATCTCAAACCAAAGGGTCTTTGGGTCTTCTAGCTGGGAGCATGACATGGGGCTCACCCATAGGGTTTAGGACTTCGGAAGGAAGACGTGTTTGTGGGCCAAACGGGGTCGTCCGAGGGGGCAGGGGATGAACTGGAAGGCTGGAGACAGGCTGGATCTGGGTGGCCACTTCAGCCTCCTGGCCCAGAGTTGGAGAGTGAGGGTTTAGGGTCCGGGCTCTGCCGGGCTTGGGCTGGGGGTGTGCTGGGAGGGTTGTGTGTGCATAAAGCTGGGTTGTGCTGTGTAGGGTGTGGAGGTTGTGGGGTGTACCCACCCCTGGACAGGATGTGCACATGTGGGATGCTGGGCTAGCCTTGTGGCTGAGTGTGACAGTGGGCAGTGAGAGTCAGTGACTGTGGTATGTTGGTGGTGGGGTGGGGGGCTGTGTCCCATCACGGAGAAGGCACCGACGTCACCATTGCACCCAGATCACGCAGGCAGCATCACACGCCACGCGCTTAGCCCAACACGCACATGCTGGAGACACACCCACTCAGAGACAGGCTGGTGGAGTCGCCCCCACAGTGGGAGGTGCTGCTGTGGACCCATGCTGCAGGCCACTCCCAAGAAGAGGGGTCCCCTCTGCAACTCCTGGAGCCCATTCTCTCCCCTGCCATCCCAAGGCTCCCACAGGTCCCCCATGACAACTGTACAGAGGGGAAGTGACTGGTTCAGGAGTTCACAGGGAGCTTGGGGTGTGCAGGATTTGGAAACTAAAACTTCTGCCTTTGAGACTAGTGTTCACTGCCCGGTAACATGAAGGATGTCAGTGGGCAGGGGGCTCACCCACCCTGGCGTTAGACTTGCTGGGGCTGTCTGGGCTGGGGGAAGTGCTCAGCTTACCCAGAGGTTAGGAGTCATGAGAATGTGCTCTCTGCTAGCCAGAGAGGGAGGTGACGGGGGTGAATCCCTGTTGCTGGGCCTCAGTTTCCCCATATGTTCTGTGTGGGTTTATCCTATGGAAACAGGCCAAGGCACATGATTGGGGAAAGGAGAGTTTCTTGGCATGCTCTTTTCTATTCCTTCCAGTGCTGTGCTTCTCCCACCCAGGATCTGGGCGGGATACCCCTCACAAAAACAACAGCAAAGATGATAAGAGCAGTTGCCATTTATGGTGCATCGACTGTATGCCTGGGTGCCCTGTGCCGACTGCCTGCTCTACATTACACGCCTGTTACTACATTTGTTCTCCCCACAGATACTTGCCCAAAGTCCTGCAGCAAAAGTGAAACAGGACTGTGTCCTAACACTCTGTTTCAGAGCCTGTGTTCTTGGTCATCACACCCAGCGGGCCCCCCGCTCCCCGCTGTCTCCTCCCCTGACTTAGGAGGGAGGGCTCTGAGCTCTGGCATTGGGATACATGGTTTGCTTCCCCCACGAGTGACCCATACCTGCCTGATTTGTTCCTCCCTTCCCAGGCCTTGTACAGCTCCATCAAGAATGAAAAGCTGCAGTGGGCCATGTGAGTCCTGGGGCTGTGTGGTGAGGGAGCTGGGGTGTGGGGAAGGGGCTGCCTGGAGAGGCTGAGAGTGCTGAGGCAGGCCTTGTGAGTCCAGGTTGGGTTTGGGGCAGGGGAGGCGGGTGAGGCCATGAGAGGCACTGAGGCTGCCTCACTTCCTTCTTTGGAGATGGCTGCCTGATCTTGGGGATCTGTGTCTTTTCTTCAGCCGGGTTGTTATGACAAGCTAGGCTGGGGTGGGTGGCCACTGTCAGCGGGCCTGGGAGGAGGAGTGCTGAAACAAAAAGGGAAGGTCCCTTGGCAAATCAAGTGGGAAAGCAGAAGTCTCTGGAGGTAGAGCCCCCTCTCAGGTCTTAGGGAATCCAGAGTGTCGTAGAACAAGGGACCACATTGTCTACTCTTGGCAGCCTCAGTGGAAGGAGACTCAGAGTAAGTCTTAGAGGAGTCCAGACTAAGGGAGGAGGTCCAGTTTTAGCCTTGGGGCCCCCAGTCTGACAGGGAGAGCCTCATCGAAACAGTCAATAGGTCACTCATATTTGCTGGTGTCTGCTGAGAGTCCAGTCACGGATCGGTTGGGTTGGGAGCTCCCAGTCTGCAGGAGAGAAGACCTGAGGAGGCAGAGCTCAGGACTGGGGTGCAGATTGGGACTTGGGGCAGGCCTTGAAGTAGGGGAAGCATTTGGGGAGAGGGAAGTTGATATTTGGGAGGCAAATATGTGGTGGCTGAAATGAGTGTGGGGTGGGGAGACCAAGAGGAGGCGGGCCTGGCTGGCTGGAGAGTGAAAAGAGGAAAAGGCAGCGTTGGCAGAGAGGTAGCATGGGCTCTTTGTGGGAGGTAATAGGGAGCTACTGCAGGTTTTTGATCAACAGAGTGACAGGGTAGAACCTGATTCTTTCGATATCTAGCAGGGCCTGCTGACCAAGAGGTACTAGGCGACCACTAGGAAGCCACTTCTGCCACCATTTACCCAACAAACTATGAGCAAAGCATGCTGCCGGGTGTGGTTGAGACTGTTGAGTCAGATGTGCATTTGCCCTAGTGGAGAAGGGGGTGAGGGTTGGTGTGTCTATGTGCAGAAACAGAAAAGGATGGGAATGAAGGAACAGTCATAGTCCTACCCTTGGGAGCTCTAACCGAAGTGAGAAGATATGCTACCTGGAGGAATCCTCATCTGAGCGGGGGGCACAGCTACCCCTGGGGAGAGCTGATCTGAGGCGGGAGACAAGGCTCCGGGGAGCCTCGGGTTGAGGGGAGCCACACCCTGTGAGAGGAGTTGTTCCCCCACTCCCTCCACAGACAAGGGGGCACTTTCCTGGGGGGGGCAGAGGCTAGGACGGAGGGGGGCTTGTGGCTGCAAGGCCAGCCCCCTTTGAGGTGATCACACCTGCAGAGACGAGGAGGAGCTGAGACGCTCTCTGTCTGAGTTGGCCGACCCCAACCCCAAGGTCATCAAGAGGGTCAGCGGGGGCAGTGGCAGCGGCTCCAGCCCTTTCCTGGACCTGACTCCTGAGCCTGGGGCTGCAGTCTACAAGCATGGGGCCCTGGTGCGAAAGGTGCACGCAGACCCTGACTGCAGGAAGAGTACGTGGCTGGGCGGGGAGGGTCTGGGGGATGGAGGGGAGAGGGCCGGTCTCAGGCCCCCTGACCTGTCTTCCTTCCCCCCAGCACCTCGGGGCAAGCGGGGCTGGAAGAGCTTCCACGGGATCCTCAAGGGCATGATCCTCTATCTGCAGAAGGTGCGGGGCCAGCCCAAGGGGTTGGGGCTGAGCTGGCTCAGGGGAGTGGGGGTGGACTGGGCCAGGCCGGGCTGGGACCATGGCCAGGACAAGACGGGCACCCCTGCAGGAGGAGTACCAGCCCGGGAAGGCCCTATCAGAGGCAGAGCTAAAGAATGCCATCAGCATCCACCATGCACTGGCCACGCGCGCCAGCGACTACAGCAAGAGGCCCCATGTCTTCTACTTGCGCACAGCAGACTGGCGGGTCTTCCTCTTTCAGGCCCCGTGAGTGCCCTCCTCCTGCCCATCCTGGACCCCTTTGCCCCAGTCCCACCTTGCTCCCTTCTCTTGTCCCTGGATTGCCTCATTTCTTCCCAGGCCACACCCTGAGCCAGGAGAGGCATCCCGGACGGGAATCCTGGGCCCAGGTCCTAAGTGGCCGTGTTGTCTCCCCAGGAGCCTGGAGCAGATGCAGTCCTGGATCACTCGCATCAATGTGGTGGCTGCCATGTTCTCTGCACCCCCCTTCCCAGCTGCTGTTAGCTCCCAGAGGAAGTTCAGCCGCCCTCTGTTGCCCAGTGCTGCCACCCGCCTCTCCCAGGTACTCCCAATTCCGTCCACCTGGTGCCAGTGGGATGGAGTGGGGCAGGCCCAGCCCAACTGCACTCAGGGCTACCGTGGGTGATTACGTAGATGTCCACCGGCCATGGGGGGTGAGGGAAGGCTGGAATACGGTCTGCACGCCACTTGCCAAGGCGTTAACCTAGACACGGTGCTTTGCTCATCCACAGGATGGGGCAGCTTTTTTAAAAACATGCACAAAGGCACTGTATGTACTAGAGTGACCCTGACTGCACTCCCCCTGGCCTCTAGGAGGAGCAGGTGCGGACCCATGAGGCCAAGCTGAAGGCCATGGCAAGCGAGTTGCGAGAGCACCGGGCTGCGCAACTGGGCAGGAAGGCCCGGGGCAAGGAGGCTGAGGAGCAGCGGCAGAAGGAGGCCTATCTGGAGTTTGAGGTGAACCTCCCTGCACTGACTGGCGCCTCTGTGGCTCCTTTCTCCGTCAGTGGGACCTCTCTGTTCCCATGTACAGGCTCAGGCTAGAGGTTAAGGCATGGGCTCCAGGAGAATAGGACCAGCTGGGTGACCGTGGGCAGGTTGCTTAACCCCTCTGAGCCTGTTTCCTCTTCTGTGGGCCGGGGATGACATGTTGTACCCAGCAGGGTAACAAAGTGAGATGAGGTCTGTCAAGTGCTCACTTTTCCCAACTCTAGTCCCGGCTCGGGAAGTATTAGCTATTAGAATTTGCAGCCTCAAGAGCGCCCACAGAGGGTCGCCACCTACCGGGGATCATGTCGCCATGGGGGCTTTGGGTGGGCAAGAACCTGCTTTTGTCTCCAGACGGGGGTGAGATGGGCAGAGGGTGGAGAGCAGGCTCACAGCCCCGCCCTCTGCCTCAGAAATCCCGCTACGGCACGTACGCAGCGCTGCTCCGCGTCAAGCTGAAGGCAGGCAGCGAGGAGCTGGATGCAGTAGAGGCAGCGCTGGCCCAGGCCGGGAGCACAGCGGATGGACTCCCCGGCCCTCACTCCAGTCCCTCCCTGCAGGCCAACCCAGCCAGCCAGCCCCGGGCTCAGGGTCATGGCTCAGAGCCTCGCACAGGGGCAAGCAGTGGGCGGTGGAAGCTCTGAGTTGAGGGTAGGCGCGTGGGGGGGTTGGCGCCCACTGGGCACCTGCATGACATAGCCCTGCCTGAGCCCGGGCCGGCCTCGGGCCACCAGTGAGGGCCCCTCGGCCCAGGGCCCGACCGCGCCGGACGCGGTGTCCGGGGCAGGGCAGGGCTAGGGCATGGGCCTCGGGAGCCTAGGTTAGGGGCCCCTCTGAGACCCCCATTTTGTGATAATGTTTTGCACTTTTTCGTATGGGGTGGGGAGGGCTGGAGTGGGAGGGGCCAGGGCCCCTTGGACTTTTGATGCTTTTTTTTTTGTGGGGGAGGCCTGACGTTTCTGCTTTCTGCTGAGACCACCCCCACCCCGACACCAGCAATCCCCCTCCATCCTGGGGCCTGGCTCAGATAGAGGCCAGGAGTCGGGGCTGAGCTGGTTTTCCCTCCTTCCTCCCTGAGGCTCACCCTCTCTCTTTCCAGAGGTGGAGGAAGGGTATCCATGCCTAGGCCCCCCTACACAGTCTGGGGACAGCATGGCCTCACTCTCCCTCCGTCAGTGGGCCCTGCCCTTTGTACAGCCTCCACTCCCATTAAAACTGCTCTGGACTTGCTGGCTGGGTCTCCTTCTCTCTCCGGTACCTGGCTTGGGGCCAGGGTAGGCAGCTGGTTCCGGGGACAAGAGTCACATCAGGGACTGCCATAAGTTAGGGAGGGGGCTGTGTCCCCCCTTCCCAGGAGAATCCTTTATTTGCTCCAACTGAGGGGTGGGCATGGGGTGTTAAATAAGAACTGGAATAGACAGGGGTGCTGTACAGAGGGGCCCAGGGAGGGGCTGGTGGGTGGGCAGCAGTTCAGTGCACCTGAGGCTGGGGGTGCCCGTGGCAGAGCCCTCCTGGCGGCTCGGGGGCCGAGCCCAGCTTCTCTGCCTCCTGTCCCACCGACTGGCTCCCGTACGCACTGTCCTCCTTCACCTCTGTGGGGCGAGTAGAAAGGCGGTAGCAAACAGTCAGGGTCCTATAGGCCTCCCACCCTCCAGGCCCGGATCTGCGTTCCAGGTAGGACCCCTTTACCTGTGCTGGGCAGCTTGTCTCGGGCTTCGGGGCCCCTCAGCAGCCTCACTCCTTCCTCTAGGCCCATGTCAGACAGGGCGTCCAGCAGGCCTGCCAAGTCCCCACCAGCCAGCTGGGGAGAAGGAAAAGGCAGGAGACTGGAGTGTGGGGACCAGGAGCCCTGGGGCCAAGGGAGCACCGAAGATGGGAGACAGGGGACAGAAGCCAGGCATGGAGCAGGGGATGGGGATCCACTGACCTTGTAACTGCGCAGGAGGCTGCCGCTGGGCGAGGCGGTCTTTCGGTATGTGTCCACCAGACTGCGCAGCCCCAGCCGTTCTGCCAGTTCTGCCCAGCTGCCCTGGGCTCCTGGCCCATCTAGTAGATGCTCCAGGTTCTGTAGGGTTGTATCCTCAAGTGGCGGCTCTGGCCCTGACAGGGACACACACACAGATGTGTCTGTTACGCCCAGAGATGGACCCAGGCAGGCACCTTGCTCTCACGGGAATCTGACAGATGGGGCAGCGGGTGGCAACAGGGATGGAGCAAGGGAGCCCTCCTTCAGAAGTTCTAAAGAAGAGAGCTCTGTGAGCAGGGGTCTGCAGCCTGGCAGTGGGTGAAGAGCTCTCACCTGCAGGGCTGGGCGGGGTCAGGGGGGGTGCTGTGGTGTCCTGAGCAGCATTTAGCAGCAAGGTCTTCACCTGGGGAGACAGCCTCCATTTGATGACCTCCCACCCCAGTCCTTAAGCCCAGGTGCCAGCTCCTCTGGGCCCCAGCTATAAGCCCAGGTACCCCCATTCCCTGGTGCTTTCTTGCTCCAGGCTCGCCTCACCTTGGTGCTGCGAGTGAGGTCAAGAGGTGTGTGGCCCCGGAAGCTGCCTCGGGTGTCCCTCTCAGGTCCCTCAGAATCTGAGTCGCTACCAGAGGTGGGGGGCGAAGGCAGTGGGCAAAGGGGCTCCTCATTCTCTGCGTGGATATCGGCACCTGGGGAGGGAGGGAGGTGTGAGGAGTTACAGTGGGAACCCACATGGGGGGGGGTACTGGGAGGCACCCCTTTCTCTCCCCACCCAGCCCTGTTCATATGCCCCAAGGATGAGGCTCACCAGCCTTTAGAAGGAGGCGGGTCAGGGTGGGGGATCCCAGTCCAGCTGCCAGGTGTAGGGGTGTGTTTCCCGCAAAGGTGCGGGCATTCACGTTGGCACGGAGCTGTGGGGTGCAAGGGAGCGGTTGATCACAGCACCCAGTGACTGGTCGCCCCTGCCCCCTGCATCTTCACCATCCTTGGTTCCACAACTCTTGGCCCCACCCCCTCAGCAATCCTCAGTCCCACCTTGGTGACGAGGTGTGTGACCAACCCCAGCTCCTCCATCTCTGTGGCTAGATGCAGGGCTGTTCGGCCCCCTTGCCGCTCTGCAGCCTCCACTTCAGCCCCACTGTCCACCAACAGATCCAGGCACTCGGGGCTTCGGGCACGGACCGCCAGGTGTATTGGGTACAGCCCTAGGGACACAGGCACTCAGCCTACAGCTGCGAAGCCAACATGGCCCCCTGACCAGCTGACCTCAACACCTCATGTTCACACCAGGTGTGAACACTCGCCACGTGCCCTCCCCAGTTCCCACCTTTGCCCCCTGGTCCAGATGAGGTGATGAACTCACCCTCGAAGTCCGGCATGTGCAACAGCTGGGGCATGGTGGGAACCCCACTGCGCAGCAGGGCACGCAGCAGGTCGGGGGCACTGGCGCCTGCCCGGAGAGCCAGGTGCACCGCGGAGTCTCCGTGCCGATCCAGCAGTGCCGGGTCTGCGCCCACCTGCAGCAGGAAGCTCACCACGCTCTTCTGCCCGGTGATCACTGCCAGGTGCAACGGCGTCTGGAGACACAGGCAGAATGAGCCAGGTTCCCCCCTGGCCTCGGCCCACCTGCCTTCCAACTCCTGCCCCCTCACCCGTAGGTGCCCCTCACCTGGTGCAGGTGATTGGTGAGGTTGACAACACCCAGGTGCCGGGCATGGTAGATGACATGGGCTATTTGCTCGATGACACTGGTCTGCCCATGGATGATGGCTAGGTGCAGTGGCCTGAGAGATGTGAGAGTGAGAATGTGGCCCAGCAAGCCCAGCCACTCAGGGCATCCTCTACCCTCAAAACCCCACCGCCTCCATGATCCCCGTCACTGGGGCTTGTGGAGCCCAGACGTCTCCAAGGGCATCGCTGCACCTGAACTTAATCCTCCCGAGCACCTTGTGCAGTATGTAAGTACTATCCAATTTTAGTATATGTGCTGCCGAAGCGAGCACTGTAAGTACTATCATTGTGCTCTCAACAACCAACAGAACTGAAACGGGGAGAGATCAAGTACTTTGAGCACAGCTAGTACATAGTGAGGCCGGACTCGGAACCGGGTCTGTCCGCCTCCACAGCCCTGGCTCTTTGCAAGTCCCTTCCCCGCCCCGCACCCCACGACCTTCCTTGGCGCTCCAAGTCCCTGACTGGCCTGGGAGCCCAGGTCTCCCGCCCGCCCTCGCGCCCACCTACGTGTCTCCGTTCTCGTCCTGAGCCGTCAGCAGGTGGCGCTGTCCCGCCAACAGCGCGCGCGCGTCCGCCGTGACGCCGTAGTCGAGCAGAGCTCGGGCGCTGCGCTGCGCCAGGCCGAACAGGCGCGCATTGTACTCCCGGGCTGGGGGCGACAGGGGCGTGGGCGCAGGTTCGGTCCCCACCCGCAGCGTCCCGACCGCCCGGATTCAAGAGGCTGTACCTCGCTGCAGCAGGTCCGGGGCCTGCGGTTCGCGCTGGGGGGTCAGGAGGGACGCGCCCGGCTCCGCCGCTTCCTCCCCGGCATCCACGCCGGGAGCCCCGGCGGCCATCTGCGCGCCGCCCCCGCCTCCGGGGTAACAGCCCATCGGGGCCGAGCCCGACGGGTAGGGACTGTAGGCCAAGGAGGAGTGTAAAAAGCCGAGGCTGCCACCTGCGGATACAGGCCTGGCTGTGGGTAGGAGGCACCAGCCAGGACTCTCCCCGATTTCTTCCCCCCACCAGCTTCTCTCCTCCTTACCCCTCCTCCGTCCCCCTTCCCGCCACCAGCGGCCCCTCACCTCCTCCTCCAGCTCCTCCATAACCCCCAGCCGAGCCCCCAGAGCCTCCACCCATGTGGGAGCCACCCCCGAAGGGCTGGGAGAAGGTGGGCAAGGCTTTCCTCCGTTTCCGCTGCACCTCCTCCTTGTCTGGGGCCAGAGGGAAATGAGATGTTAAAACCCCAACTTATATACCACGCCTCAAGAGCTCTGTCCTGAGTTTGGTCATGGCCCTCCCTCCAAAAGCCCTCAGGCTGTCTCCTAGGACCACCTCTTCCTGGGACCTTCCCCACTCCTGACTTGACTCATGGGTCCCCTGATCTAGTTCTGGGACACTCCAGCCCAGGGACCCCCCCTCCCCCCCCTTCAGCCCAGCTCCACCTTCCACCAGAGGGTAATAGGTGAACTGTTTGGAGTCCGACACATCCCCGCCACGCTTGCGTTTCAGTTGCAGGAACACGGTTACAGGACGCTCAATCTTCATCTTGTGATAGGGAGGTGTCCGGAACACAATAGCATACTGGCAGGGGGTTGGAGGGCATAAGGTGTTATTGAGGCCTTGGCCTAGTTCAGCCCCCCAGCCCTGGCCCTGGCCCTGGCCCTAGGGTACCTGTTTATGAACATCTGTGGGAGAGAAATCCCCAAAGGCCTGCCATCCATTCTCATCATCCTCATAGAACCGAACCTCGATGTCATCTATAGGGAAAATTGAAGCTTGGCCACAGCTCCTAGTAGAATCTCCAGGGCCTTTTGTCCTAGAGCTGCCCTGGCTCCCCATCTTGATACCCAGTGTCCCTAGCTCCCAGCCTGGGCTCCAGCCTCACCTTTCTGCACCTTGTCACAAAGCAGATAAACCTCATCTCCACCCCGCACTGAGCCAGCTGTCTTGTCCATTCGAGAAATCTTCAGGTTCGAGGCCCCAGGAGACTCTGCGGGGGTGGGGGGATATCAATTACTTGAGATGACATAATAGCCATGGCCCCATTTATGGAGCCAGGTGCTTTGTATTCTTTGAACAACCACAAGAAGTACAGGAACTGCTAGTATCTTCATTTACCCAACATGGAAGCCGTACTTGGAAAATGACTTGCTGACGATCACTCAGCTCATATGTGGTGGGTCAAGTTCAAACCCAGGCCTAACTCCACAGCTTGAGATTGCCCCCCAGGCCCCCTCTGGCACCTAGGCCTGTCACTCGAGATGGTCAGGATACTCACTGCTGTCATGGATGGGCTGGGAAATAACTGGCTTCAGGGGCAGGGAGAAGGAGCCATCGCTGGCTCGAAGGAAGGCAGAAAAGCGCAGCCGCACAATGCTCAGGTCCATCACCTTTTTCAGCTCCTTGGCCTCCTGCTCCAGCTCCCGCCGCTCAGCCTCTGGGCGGTGGACATACATGTGAGCCCTGCACTCCTCCTCCTCCTCTACTCCTCCCATGATCACCTCCCATGACCCCTCCTCCCTCCATACCAGTAAGGCCCTGGGGCCTGGAGCGGAGTCGCTGCCTCTGAAGTTTTTGTATCATAATCTCCATCATGTTCTTCTTGGTAACATGCAGAACGCCCAGGTTGTTAAATCTGGGTGGGGGAGGGGGAGTCAGAGGCTTTGCCAGCAGTTCTCTCCTCCTGAGGCACTCTCCCCGCGGCCAGGGCTCAGCTCAGCCCTACTTCCTCCAGGAAGCCTTCCTGGTTTTTACTTGGGGCCTTGGGTTCTGGGCCCAACCTATCTCACCCCTTGGTCAGATACTAAGCTCACAGAAGTGGGCTGGGACCTAGGACTGGCAGGCAACGAGGGGGCACCTACTGGGCAGTCATGTCCTTGGGCCCCACAGACACGGCGCAGACCCCCAGCTCCGAGCATTGCTTGCCCACCAGGCTGTGGGCATGAGCACGAGGCGGGTCACTGTGCGTTACCAGGTCCACCTCGATCTTGGCTGGTCCCTCGTAGTTACAGATCTGGGAGGGGTGAGGGCTGTCAGTAATGCCCCTGAACACACTGTCCATTAGCCCACCCTCCGGCACCATCCTGACTCACCTTGACTGTGGGGTAAGTCTTCCGGCCCTTCTCACTGGAGGCACCTGGCAATCCTCCATGGGAGGGGCCTTCGCAGCCATATCGAAATCGGAAGCCTCGCTGAACGTCCCGGGGCAGATTGACATTGTGACCAGGAGAGACCCCCCCTCCTAAGCCAGCCCCGCTCCCCCGCCAGCAGTGACCATAATAACTGGCAGTATCTCCCAAGCCACACCACCATGATTAGCAGCAGCCAACCATTCCAACCTCAAGTGGCCTCTGTGATCAGTGACCCTCCCCATGGCCACCCAGCTACAGCTCCCCCACTTGTCCCCAAAGCTGAAGTCATCCCACACCACCCCTTCCGTTCGCTCACCTGCTTAGGCTGTTCCACTATCACCAGGTAAGGGCCATCAGCTGGGGACAGAGGGACCTTGCTGAGCCAGGATTTCTAAGCCCGTCTCCCCAAGGCAGAGGGCACACGCTCCTCCCTCGCCCCTCTCTAAGACAAGGAGAGGTAAGGAACTTACCTGTCTCCGGGGCTGGCTCCTTGGGCTCCACAATGGACGGGTCGAATTTGAAGTCATCATATTCAATCATGCCATCCAAAGCCTGGTTTGGAGACAGACTGGGGTGGCAACTGATTCTGAGCCACCCCACAGCCCTCCACTTCCCAGCCCTGAGTAACCACTCCCTTTCCTCCTCAGGCCCGTAAAAAAGCTCCTATTGGAAGAAGTTTGCAGACAGATTGACCGGCAGGTTGAGATAATCAGAGAGCATTACAGGTGTAGGGGAGCAGAGCGGACTCCGACAGACAGGCAGACAGAGACAGACGTGGGGACAGCCGGCCCGGCTTTAGAGCCAGGAGGCGTGACTCACTGGGTCGTAGCAACTTTCCATGTCTCTGGGCTAGGCCCGGCTGTGTCCGGTGGCTCCGGCCGGGTTCTGTTTCCCAGAGTTTCAGGCGCCCGCCTTAGGTGGGGGGTGGGGGAAGTAGCGGGGGTAGGGAGAGACAGATCAGGACAGGAGTGGGGGGGGCGAGGGGGACCCAGATTTGGGGGAGGGTCTGATCTCTTCCAGCCACCCGTCCGGGTGTGGCGGGCGAGATCCGGTGGAAAGCGAGATCCGGAGCTGGGCTGGGCTGGGCTGGGCCGGGGAAGCGGCAGGAAAGTTAGAACAGCTTAGGAAAGTCCCGAAAATACCAGGGGGAGGCGGGGCCGGAGGGGGCGGGCCTGGAAATGACGCCACTGGCCACGCCCCCGCGGCGGGAGGGGCGCGAGGTGGTTGCTGGCCTCTGAGCTCCTCGCAGCCTCTCTGCGGGCTGAGGGGCAACCAGACCCAGGGAAGCGCCCCTGGTGGTTGGGCCCACTTCCACACACCAGGGCAGGCGCCGGGGACTGGAGGGTCTTTCAAACCTGCCGGACGCTTTCAGGCCCGGGCCAGGCCCGCCTCCCGCCCCCTTCCCCTCCCCCGTCCTGGAGCAACCTTGGGATTTTCTACCCCGAGGGAGGCCACGGCTGATTCACCCGGGGGCTTTTGGGGGGACATTCCTGCTGTAGGAAGGCCTCCTTTCCGAAGGCCTGTAGGCGGGGGCTCTTCCCAGTGGGGGGCCCCGGGGTTCTGCCCCGAGAACGGACTCTGGGGCCGTGGGGCGGGGGAAAGAAGGGTGTCTCCTTCTTGGGATGGACTCTTCTGTTCCCTCTCCCCGAAACATCTCAACAGTTCCCACACCGCCCCTGCTCTGGGTGCCCACTTCCCCTGCCCCGGTCCCATAGCCGTGTGTGTCTCTAGTGTGTGTTTCTATTAGAGGTATAGAGTGTGTGCGTGAATGTTGTGTATGTGTGGTGTCAATATGCATGTGCCAGGGAGCAAGGCTGTGTACAGGTGAGCGTCCTTAAACTCAGTGTGGACGCGTCTGAGCATGTCTTGATATATAAGGGTACAGGTGAACAGATCTGAGTTTGTGCGTGAAAGGTATGGGTCCAGGCACCTGTGCACGGGTGAGCATGTTCGCGTGTACGTGTGTGCGAGTCTGAGTGTATGGACAGTGCTGTGCGATCGCTAGCGTACGCGTAGGTGCACGTATGGGTCCGCGCGTTTTGTTTTTTGGTTTTTGTTTTGTTGTGCAAGGACGTCGGTGGGTTTCCGTATGTCTTGTTTCTGCGCGTGCTCTGTGTGTGTGCGTGCATATGCCGCTCTCCAGCCCCAGGACTCGGTCAGTTAAGGGCCCTCCTTCCGCCCTTCCCCGTGTCCCGGCCACTCAGGGGTCTGAACCCGGCCACTCACCGCGGCGGCGGCTCCGGTTCCGGCTTCTCTCCCGGCCCGACCCACCTCGGACGGGTCCCGACACCTCTCCACAGCCACCAGGGCTCCAGCTGGGAAAGCCCCTTTTCCACCCCCGGGAGGGGGGAATTCCCGTGACGTTTCCGTGCGTCACGCCCCGTGACCTTTTTCATTGGCTGAAAGTTTAACTCCGGACTCGTGCAGCCAATCCGGAGCGACTCGGGCGCGCCCCTTAGAGGGGAAATATTAGCTCAAGCAGGGGAGCGGGGAGGTAGGATGATGGTCAGCTAAAGCTTGAGCTCTGGCAGAGGGATCTGCCCGAGGCTGGATTCTGACCGAGCGCCATCGCCCAGCCAAGGGCGCCGGCTCCGGTCTCTTCACCACCCTGCCTACCCCAGACAGCTGGCAGCCCCTGCTGCCACTCGGCTTATGGTGCGCCTAACTCTTGGCCACTTCTGAAGCCGGGGAACTCCAGGGGGAAGCTGGCGGGCCCCAGCCCTCGGGTCCCCCGCCTGGAGCGGGGCCCCGCTGCCGGGAAGAGTTGGGGGAAGAGGAAGGAAGTTGGTCTTGCAGTTGGTCCCGGGCGCCATCTGGCGGCCTCTCTGGAGCCGCAAGGAGACTCCGTAATCCTCTCATGTTCCAGTCTCCCCTGGAAGAGACCATCTGAACCTGAAACTTACTCTATAAATGGCAGGGTCACAGGGGGCCAGACTTCCAGACCTGAGCTCTGGAGCTCTGTGCCAGGGAAGGTAAATGAGGGGTTCATCTGAGAGACTCAGGTCTTGCTCATCCATCACAGAGATTTGGAACATTAGAATTGAAAAGACATCCAAAATCTTTACGGTTCGGACTTCCTCCATTGTAGGAAATTGCCTTTTCTATAGCTCCCAACTCCGCTTGAACACTTTCGGTGGCAGCAAGATCAGTAAAGGATTTCATAAAGTACTGACTCTGGCTGAAGATCTGTGATAGGTAGAGTTTCTCTTTAGGAGGTGTCATGAGCAATCTCCATTCTTGGAGTCGTCCTCCCTTAGGCTCATGGTAGAACACAGGCTTTTGTTTCAGATTTTCCAAGCAACTTGCCCCTGACCTTCTTCTTCTTCTTTTTCTTTTTTTTTTTTTTTTAGCTTTTTTATTTATTCCTTTGAAAGAGAGAGAGTGAGCGAGACCATGAGCAAGGGGGAGAGTCAGAGGGAGAGGGACAAACAGACTCCCCATTGAGCAGGGAGCGTGATGCTGCAGGGCTGATCCCAGGACCCCAGGATCATGACCTGAGCCAAAGGCAGACGCTCAACCCACTGAGCCACTCAGGGGCCTCCACCCCTGACCTTAATAATGGATTTACAGGCCTGCATAGGTCTGCATAAAAAGCAGACTCTTATAGCCCTTGATATGAGCTATTTCCTGTTATTTCACCCTCCTCTTCATCTTGCAAATGGAATGTGGCAAGTACTGTGTTAAGGTACTGTTAGTATAAGTTCTTATTTTTCCTCCCAACAACGTTGGAGGTAAATATTACCTTTACTGATGAAGAAATTAAGGCTCAGAGAGGTGAAGTAGTGACCAAATACAACACCTAGAAAGGGACAGAGTGAGAGTTCAAAATACCCAGTCTATTAATTCTAGGATGAAGCTCTTCCTTAAACTGATACAAAACAAAGCAGCCCTTTCCATCCCACTGTGAGCCTCTCAAGTGAATATCATAAAATACTACCAAAATTTTTGCTGAAATCCAGGGATATTGTCTACTACATTCCCCTGGTGAACCAAATCTTTAACCCTTACATTAAAACAAAATGAGGTTAGTTTGGTATACCTCAACTTAGCCTGTGCTGGTTGCCAATGATTACAACTGTCCTTTCAAAGCGCTCATAGACTACCAGCTGGAATTGCCATGAATTCTTCCACTCTCCACAACTGCCTCTAAAAGAGCCCGTAGAGGTTGAGCTATTTCTAAATATAAGATTCTGAGCTGTAATTTATCTGAAGATTTTTAAAGAAGAAAAACTCTATTATAGAAAGTTTCCAACATAGGGCGCCTGGGTAGCTCAATTGGATTAAGTGTCTGCCTTTGGCTCAGGTCGTGATCCAGGGGTCCTGGGATGGAGCCCTGCACTGGGCTCCCTGCTCAGCGGGGAGTCTGTTTCTCCCTCTCCCTCTCCCCCTTTCCCCGTTTGTGCTCTTTCCTAAATAAATAAGTAAATAAATAAATAAAACCTTTAAAAAATTTCAAACATATAGAATAGTATGATGAGCCCCCATGTATCCATCAGTCAGCTCCAACAATTCCCAACGTTGGGCCTGGAGATTTTAACTGATTCAAAGTAGTTTATTGTCAGTTGCTATAGCCTCATCTATCTGGGATTAAGAAACCTCTTCACCACTAATTTCCAGCCTAATGATTATCTGTTCCTGTACCTAGCCTTAGCACTACACTTGGTCCAAAGAAGAGGCACCATAAATTCACTCCATTCGTTCACCAATAGTGAGGGCCTACTCTAGAACAGAATGTCTTTGTTTATAGATAAAAATCAAATGGATGTTCAGTTGGTGATAAGGGCTAGCAGAAAAATTAAGTAGGCAAAGAGGTGGTAACAAGGCTTTTCTTTGTAGCAGTGGAGGGAAGGCTTCTCTGATGAGGTAACATTTGAACAGTGCCTTGAAAAAAGTGAGGGAGTGATGTGGCTATCAGAGGGAAACGCATTCCAGGAGGAGGGACTAGCAGTGTAAAGTTTCAATATGAATGTGTTTGGTATATCTGAGAAAGCAAGAAGCTTAGGTAGGTGGGATAAAGTAAGAACTTTGGACTCTGTTCTGGGTGAGATGTAAAGCCTTTGTGGGGGGGCGTCTGGGTGGCTCAGTCGGTTGGGCGCCTGTCTTCGGCTCAGGTCATGATCCCAGGATCCTGGGATCAAGCTCCCATCAGGCTCCCTGCTCAGCGGGGAGCCTGCTTCTCCCTCTCCCTCTGCTGCTGCTCTCTCTCTCTTTCTGGCAATAAATAAATAAATAACATCTTTAAAAAAAAAAGCCTTTGGAGGATTTTGAGCAGTGGAGTGAAAATGATATGACATTTGTTTTTTTAGATTTAATTTATTAATTTGAGAGAGAGAGAGAGCAGGGGAAGGAACAGAGGGAGAGGGACAAGCAGATTCTGCGCTGGGCATGGAGCCCCATGCGGGGCCTGATCCCATGACACTGAGATCATGATCTGAGCTGAAAACAAGAGTCAGGCACCCAACCAACTAAGCCATCCAGGCATCCCAGTATGACATGTTTTAAAAAGATACACTTCACTGTGTGGAGAGTAGAGAGCATATAGGACTGAAATGAAGGAGGGAGACCAGTGGTCCAACAGACGATGGCTTGGATTTGGGTGATAGTGAGTGAGGATGGTGAGAAGTAGTCACGTTCCAGATAGATTTGAATGATAAAAGCGACAAGATTTGCTGAGGAACTGGATGTAGATATGAGAAGGGGTTGGGGGAGGTTTGGCATGAGAACCTGGAAGAATGAAGTCTTTTAGTGACATGGGGCACAGTGGGGGAGGAGCAGATTTGGGGGGATCAATAATTTTTCCTTTAAGTTTGTTATATTTGAGAGCCTGTGAGGCATGCAAGTGGATATGATGAGGGGTAGTTGGACAAAAAGTGGATGGTATTTAAAGTCTTGACAGTAGACAACATCATCCAGCAATTGAGTGTGGAGAAAGAATTTGAGGACCAAGGGTTGAGCCCTGGGGTGCTCTGATGTTCACAGTCTATGGAGATGAGGAATGAGGAGGTGCCAACAAAGGAAATTTAAAAGGTATGGCCAGGGGCGCCTGGGTGGCTCAGTCGTTAAGCATCTGCCTTCCGCTCAGGTCATGATCCCAGGGTCCTGGGATCGAGCCCCCGCATTGGGCTCCCTGCTCAGCAAGGAGCCTGCTTCTCCCTCTCCTTCTGCTGCTCCCCCTGCTTGTGTTCTCTCTCTGGCTGTCAAATAAATAAAATAAAATCTTAAAAAAAAAAAAAAAGGTATGGCCAGTGAGGTAGAAGAGAACCAAAGAAAACTAGTGTCTCAGAAGCCAAGGGAAGAGTATTTCAAGGAGGGGGTATTTGAACCAAAGTTCTTTTTCCTCGGGGCACCTGGGTGGCTCAGTCAGTTAAGCATCTGCCTTTGACTCAGGTCATGATCCCAGGGTCCTGGGATCCCTCAGCATTGGGCTCCCTGCTCAGCGGTGTCTGCTTCTCCCTCTTCCTCTGCTGTCCCCCCTGCTTGTGCTGGCTCTCTCTCATAAATAAATAGATAGATAAACAAATACATACTTAAGAAAAAATAAAGTTTTTCCTCAGTTGAAGCCCAGGGGCTGAGTGGTTCTTGCTTACTCATGGCCACTCGTCTCCCAAGCAGTGAACCCTGAACAAAATTAAATACCCGAGGGTTCAAATACCCACATTTTTTGTTGTTCTTAGCATTTTGGGGGGGGCAGGGGGAGGTATGTGTCCCTTGTAGCTAATTCTGTAATTCATCCTTCCTGATACCATTATGTGATTAGAAAATTAATTTATTCTTCGTGTGCATCTCTTTCTAGTTTTCTAGTGAACTCTTAGCTCACTAGGTAATAACATGTCCCTTCAGATGCTCAATGTTTTACTTTTTAAAAAAGATTTTATTTTTATTTGAGAGTGAGTGAGAGATATCACAGAGGGAGAGGGAGAAGCTGACTCCCTGCTGAGCAGAGAGCCCGATGTGGAGCTCAATCCCATCACCCCAAGATCATGACCTGAGCCGAAGGCAGACAGACGCCTGACTGAGCCACCCAGGTGCCCCTCAACCTTTTCTTTTTTTTTTTTTTTAAAGATTTTTTTTATTTATTTGACAGAGAGAATGAGAGAGAGAGCACATGAGAGGGGGGAGGGTCAGAGGGAGAAGCAGACTCCCTGCCAAGCAGGGAGCCCGATGCGGGACTCGATCCAGGGACTCCAGGATCATGACCTGAGCCGAAGGCAGTCGCTTAACCAACTGAGCCACCCAAGCGCCCTCAACCTTTTATTTCTTTTTTTTTTTTTTTTAAAGATTTTATTTATTTGACAGAGAGAGATACAGCGAGAGAGGGAACACGAGCAGGGGGAGTGGGAGAGGGAGAAGCAGGCTTCCCGCGGAGCAGGGAGCCCGATGTGGGGCTCGATCCCAGGACCCTGGGATCATGACCTGAGCCGAAGGCAGACGCTCAACGACTGAGCCACCCAGGCGCCCCTCAACCTTTTATTTCTTAAGAGCTATGGAAAATATATGTAGCTTTGAAGGGTTTCCATACCACCACCACCACCACTTTTGAATTGAGGAAGTGTCATAGGAAAGACCATGAGGTTTAGAGTGAGGCAGACCTAGGACTTGGCCTCTCTGAACCCGTTGCCTCATCCGTAAGAGTAAACACCTCTACACAGTTGTGTGGCCATCGCACTTACTGTTGACACATACGGTGCTCCAACAATGTCACTTCTCCACGTTTGGTCTTAGGTCCCTAGCTTTCCTCTGGACTTTCTGAAATCTGCTATCCTGGAGTTCTTATAGGAGACACCATGGAGACCAACACTTTCCTCTGGGTCACACTGTTACTTTCCTAAAAGTTGTTCTGGCACTTCCACATCACGAAGTCCTTCTGTGTTGATTAGAATTGGGGCCTGAATATTAGCTTCTTCTGTAGCTTCCTTTGCCTTCTCAGGGAGAACATTTGTCAATAACGTAAGTAATGTATGTGTCAGCTGATCTTTAAGAGAATGAGACTTCCAAGTGTTTTTTTGCAACCCAATGGGGAGAGGGTCGGTTTGCAATCATTCCAGCTTCTTTCCAATATTTGCAGACTGAGGGGCACAGACTTGTCATATTCTTTTGTTCACAGGATGACCTTCAAATTCCTTTGCAGTAGCCAACATTATTTCCCCCACAGGGAAGCTTCGAAAGGCAGCACTTGTGGAGCTCAGATGGGAGAATAAAGACATCTCAGCCGAAGCCGAGGGCCCTAGTGTCTACCTGACTGAAGACCCAGGCCTTTCAGCATTCATACAGAAAAGTACAGATCAGGAGTGCAGCCATACTCCTAATTTTCCTAGGGACGGGATCAGACAAGGCTTCTGGTTAGTGTGGAAACCAGGCATGGTCTGAACTACCTGGGTAGAAGGAAGGGAAGAGGGAAAAACTAGTGTAGGAGGTCACATGTTAGTATTTTTCCACATGAGCCTGTTACCATTTCCAAGGTACCCTTTCCTACACGTGTGGAAGGCACTTCCTGAGGTCTAGACACCCAGCAACATCCAGGTGGTTGTGCTGAGCAAAGGGGAGTCCAAGCTCCTGACTGATCGATCATATAGCCAGCTGGGCCCACATGGAGAGGCTGAGCACCCCTAACTCTCCATGGTGGAAGCCAGCTGGTGTACGACAGGTAGTACTACTCCCTTGCCCCTCCTAGAGAGGGAAGGGACTACCGTGGAGGAGGAAGCCAAGACATGTAGAGGCTTCACCTGGGAAAGCTTCGTGCATTGCATCCTGTATCCCACCCACAGTGCCTCAGCCTGCAGGAGCCATGCTGCCTGCCCCGCGCACACTCCCACTTGTCTTACCCTGACACAAAGGGGAAGAATGGGAAAGGTTCCCTAATCATGCTTCAGAAAGTGAGATGGATAGGGACTGTAGGGCAGGACAAAATTTCCCTCCTCAGTCTGGGGCCAACAAAACAAATGCCCTGTGCCCAGAAACCCAAAATCATAGCTGTGGGCAAGACAGCTCCTAAAGCCCCACGGTCTCCCCTTTGGGCTCCTGGACCATGGGCTACATCTGAGGGAAGACTTCTGAATAACTACAGCTCAACTCTGGTTCACCTTCCCTTTGACTCTGACCCCAGTTCAGACCGTGTGGAGCAGTGAGGGAAGAGGACAATACCAACCTCCTGGCATACCCCCCGTGGCAAGAGTGCACTGCTCTGGCGGTGGTGGTGGTGTAGGGCAGCAGCTCTGGCGAAGGAATCCTGGCTGGCGTCTGGCTGGCTGCTGGCCTGGGGCGACATGGGCCAGACTGTTGGTAGGTTCAGCCTCACTTCTGTTCACGCAAGGCCCAAGCCCTAGGTATCCCAATAACACAGTGCCCATAAGCTCAAGAAGGACACCAGCAGGTAAGGCAGTGACATTGGTACTAAGACATTTATTACATCATAAAAAGTCCATTGTTGTCTTGTTTTTCCATATGTACATGTCCCTCTGTCCAGCCCCACCTGCCAACCCTCCATGGTGCCAATCAACTTTCCAAACTGACTAATTAATAAGAGGAAGAATTGGAGGAGGTGGCCCAGCGCTGATGGGAGTGAAGATGGGAGAGGGACACAAAGTGCAGAGTGGCTGGCTTGGCTCTCAATGCCTGACCACGGGCAGGAGGGGCAGGAGGGGCAGGAGGGGCAGGAGGGGCACGAGGACAGGTACTACAGGGTTGGCACAGAGATGCCTCCCCAGGGCTGCCAGGTTGCACATGATACCTGAATGTGTTCTCAGGTTAGACCCCCAGGAATGGAGAGCTGAGGAAGAAGGTCCCCCATCCTGATTGTGGGTCCTAGGAGGGGCTATAAAACTTCTCTTTTTCAGGTCCCTATCCAAGCAGCAGTAACAGCAGCTCAGGCTGGGCCTGAAAAGTTTGTGCCCTGCGGACAGCTGGAAGGGTGGCTGGGGACAGTCTGGTAGGAAGTACTGGTCCTAATCTCTGAGGGGCCTGCCTTAGTTGACCTCGGAGGTGGGCATGGGGTCTGTGGAGCGGGGTGTGGCCAGGAGGGGCACTGGTGAGGTGGCCTCAATGAGAGCAGGGTTGAGGATGATGGGCAGAGTCATGGGTGGTACGCCCACCTGCAGTGGGGAGGCCAAGGGCTGTAGGATTAGTGGGGGCTGAGCCAGGGAAGGAGGCCCATCTGGAGTAGGGCTCAGTCTGCTGGGGCTAGACGCCACTGGTGATCCAGCGGAGCCGCTGTTGGCAGGTCGAGGGCTCTCAGGCTTCTCAAAGTCTGTAGGGAGAGCAAGGGGCTGGTCAGACTCCTTTACATTCCCCAGCTGGTTTACCTAATCTCTGCTTCTCCCCATTCCTGTGAACAAAATGACCCCTATCAGGCTAAGTAGTTGGGAATCTCCCCTTGAAACTCATTCAAATATCCAGCTATCCTGTATCTACCTTCTAACTCCTTTGCTTCTTACCTCCAGTCAGGTAAGTTCTGATCTGATCTTTACTAGAATCCCCAAAGGGCAACCTCTGCATATTTATTCCAAGTTCCTGATCCAGCCTTCTCCTTCCAAGCCTGAAAATCTCAAGCAGGTAGCTCATCATAGCTTATTTGGCCCTGCCATTTCCCACAGGAAGAACTCTGGTTCCCTCCTTCCCCTGGCTCACAGCCCATACTCAGCAGTAATCCCAAACTACCCTGGGGCTCCTCCTAGGCTTCCTACTTCCTGCTCAACACCCAGGAGGCTAGCTCAAAAGGACTCACCACAGGCCCCCAGCTCAGAAGGCATCTCTGGGGGAGGTGGATGGCCAGGTGTCCTTGTGTCCCCAGCAGCAGGAGTCATGTGGGCTGAGGCCAGAGATTTTTGGGCATGTGGCTCTATGGGCATGGGGTCTGGGGAGGGCAGAAAAACCAGGTGGCAGCTCTTAGTGTTTTCTTTCAACCACAGCCCTGGCTACCCACCAGTCTTCCCACTGATATGAGTACAGAGAACTAAGTATTAGCTCCAGACTCTCTGATGAGGATTCTTTTGACAAAGCTGAACTAAGCCCCCTACCCTGGATGACAGTCTGCTTGAAGAGCTCATCTCGTAGGTGGGGCAGAAAACAGTCAATGCGCTCCCAGGTGATCTCCCAGAGGGCTGAGGGGCTGCCTCCTCGGGCATCTGCATTGTGGAAAATCTCTGCTGTGTCCATCACCAGAAGCATGTTCTTCAGAGACTCAGGGATGGCCTCTGACTGTTGGTGGCAGTGGGACCATGTAAATAGGAAAGAGGGCATGGCGGGGACATGGTAAGGAGGAGGCAGCCACCAAGGGCAAAACAGCATGTCTTCCCAGCAGGTGGGCGAGGAAGCAGGCAGTGGGAGTTGGGCTGAGGTAGAACATACCAGTAAGTCACTGGAGCCTGCGTGCATATACTTGTCCATGAAGTCCAGAATGGTCAGCCAGAGGGCCGCAAAGGTAGAGAGTGACAGCAGCGGAGACAGGTGCTGCAGGAAGACCTAAGGCCCGCCAGCCCATTTTAGTGAAGGGTCGGAGCTATCTGCATCCCTCTCCAAGGCTGGGAGGCAAGCCTGTCCTATCTTGCATGGGAATCCTAAATCAGAGATTCCTCTGAATTCCAGAATCCTCCCAGGTCCCTGGGTCCTGATGAGTCTCCATAGCTGGGGGTCCCAAGCACCCACATTGCATCTCCAGGTCCTAGGAGAAGCCCTGGCTTTGTCCTCGCAGAAAGGCAGGTGTGGGGAGAGTGGGTAGATGAGGGTGGTGAGCAGTACCTTAGACAGCAGTGTGGAAGCCCTCATTCGAGTCTCCTCCATCCCACCCACATCTGCAGGGCTGATATTCTCCAAGAGCTTGGTCAGTAGAGGAAACAGCACCTGGTGGGTAAAGAGCCAATTGGTCCCTAACAGGCCAGTTGGCAGCCTTACTCCAAGGCAGCCAGGGGCTGGGATGGATAAGCACAGAGCAGAAGGAAAGGTAGGATGCAAACTGAGGACTGACATTACGGGCTCTTCAGGCTGCCCAGTTCTCCCTGTCTTAAGGATTTGAACTTTAAGACCAGAGGGAAGTCCCACCTTGTTAAAACAGGACTCCCACTCCAGGGCATCTAGCTTCTGCAGATCATGTACCAGCAGTGCTCGCTGTAGATAGGTCAGTGCCTGCATCCGGACCTGGCGCCGGGCGTCGCAGCACAGGCAGGCGATGCCTGAGAGCAAGAGCAGGCTCAGGATCCTTCAGGCATCCCAAGTGCCAGCTCCACCTCCACCCCTGCCCTGCCTGCTCCCCTGAGGTTTACCCTGCAGTAACGGGCACCAGCAGTGGGCCCAGAGGCTGCGGGAATCAGCTTCGATCTTCCGGCCACCTGTCTCTAGATGGCGCTGCTCCTCCGCCCAAGAGCTGTAGATCGAGGCCGCTCGAGTGTGCAGGGTGTGCATCAGGTCTAACAACTGGAGTCACAGGAGGGGCAGGAAATGAGCTGGGGTAAGGTCTGGTTGATGCCCCCCAACACTGTCCCTGACTGAGTCCTCAAAGGAGCCCCTAGTACATCACACCATACTCTACCCCTCACCCCTCTTTCTCGACTTCATGAGCTGGTTGTCCCCTGCCAGCCAGTGTTTCCCAAAATTGGGTGTTAATCCTAGTGGAGGAGATATAAGGAGGTGTGTGGAATGAGTGTGTAATAACAATGAATTACATGGTGAAAAAGGTATTTTCAATTCTCTTTCATACCTTCTGATGACAGATAAAGCTTCATCTTGTTAATTTCATTTTAAAACCAGAAAGCAAACCTCAGGCTCAGAGGCTTTGGTGGGCAACAGTGTCTGGTCAACTTTAATAATTTTTTGTTTTCATAATTTTTCTAAGGTTATTCTATTTAAGGCAATTAGTTCTCCATTTTTTTAGTGATAAAAAGTCTGCTCATAAAATAAACTTTATACGCCTTGAATAGACAAAGAATTCTGGAAGGATAGACAAGAAACTAGTGGCAGCGTCTACCTCTGGGGAGGGGAACTTAGCAGCTGGGGGCAGGAATGGAATAGGACTTACTTTTATCTGTTTACCTTTTCGTACTTCTGAACTTTGTACTACGTGTATATATTACTTATTCAAAACATAAATCTTAAATATTAAGCAAACAAAGATTTACAGTGGTCTTGGATAGGGAAACTGTGGAAGTGGTGGCCGAGGCCCTGGGTTGGAAAACATAGGCCCTTCCTCTCAGCCCTGGCTGTCCCTGGCCCTGCCCACGCTCCCAATGTCAGGGGCAGGGAGAGGAGAGGAAGTAAAGGATGCCATACTTACGTCCTGACTGACCTGTAAAGACACCGTATGGTAGCTGGCAGGCACACCTTCATCCTCATCATCGTCACTATGCCCACCCCGAGTGGCATGTTGGCTGGAGGTTCGAGGCCGCCGAAGCACTGAGCCTTCCTTGGATTTCTTCTTGAAGCGGTTTCCTTTGCTATCATATTTGTGACTCTTGCCACGTTTTTCCTGGGACTTGCACCCTGAGCAGAGTCAGACCCAGGTTACATTTCTACATCATGGACACAGATGGCCTACCTTTTCCTCCCTTTCCCCCGTATATTCACATGGCTACTCCCCAGCTGCCCCTTCATTGGGTAACCCACCGCCATTCAGACTGGCCTCCACAAAGATGCGGAGAGTCTTGACGCAGAGCTCAAAGTTGTCAGGTGTAATGTGGGCAGCATCACGCACGATGAAGGACAGAGATTCTACACATTTAAGCAGGGACTTAGTATCGTGTGGCCCGAGGTCCAGCCCCACTGTTAGGCTGTACTGATTGACCAGGGGTGAAGGGCCTAGCCGGCTGGGCCCAGGACCTGGCTTGGAGTTATCGATGTCATCCTTCCCCACCTGTAAAGTACACAGAGTTGCTGGGAACCCAGGCTTGAGCCTGATCTTCCCTTAGATGCCCTCTCGGAGGACCAGGAATCTTTCCCACAGGCCAAGGAGGGAAGACTCACCCACTGCCCGTATGCTCACTCACCACTAACCAGCCGCTGTTGACCACATCAGCGTCTGTGGCTGATCGGTGGATCTTGCCAGGCCTGCAATGGTCAGCGTAGACCTCTGAATCAGAAGTGTATCCTCGGTCCAGGCTCACATCATTCTGATGGTAGGATGGGAGTTCGCTGTCTGATTGGGCCCCTGAGTCAGCAGGGAGAAGAGAAGAGTCAGGGTGGAAATGGGGACACTGAGATTAAGGATGATTTCAGTTCTAAGAAACAGGTGCTGAAGCCTGGGCTCTCCTCTCTCTTGGTCCAGCTTAGTTTCAGCCCTGTCACCAGGGGGCTGAAGGATGGTCTGGATAGATTCTCTCTTGACCAAATGGGGCAGTAGGCTAATTTGGGCTCCTGATGGCATCTAGTAGCAGCTGTCAGGGGATGGGGGTGGTGGGGAGGACATAGTTTCTGAGAAAATAGTCCTTAGGTAGGAAGCCTAGTGTCATAGACATCTATGTTGCCTACTAGCCTTCATACTATTTAACCCATGAGTGCTGGGGAAAGGCCAGTGGGTACAGGAAGCTCTGGAAGCAGATGGCGGAAATCAGGGGTGTTTAATCTGCTAAATACAATAACCTGTATTTTGTTTTCCTGTCTCAACCCCTGGGGCCATAACTGTTTATCTGCCAATGAGGGTCTCCCTGGGAAAGGGCTTACCAGCATCAGGTCCATCAGCCCTGGCTGTGGACTGCAGGGCAGCTGGAGGCTTTACACCTGAGCCAATGCATTCCAGCAGTGTGAAGAGGGTGGCCCAGTCATCACCTGAGTGGATGTTGGCTGCGTTGGTCTTAAGGAGTTCATGGAGCCCATAGGCTACCTGGTGACTGACTCGGGACAGCACGCTGGGCTTCATTAGCAGCAAAATGCGCAGGGAGAGCAGCACCTGGGTGGGTGGGTGGGGAGCAGGAAGTGGGCACACAGCTTCTTGTCTGGACTCCTTCCCCACCAGTTTCCTTAGGCCAGTGAGGATGGTTTGGCTAGGACCCTCCTAAGAGTACTGCTGCTGGTCTTTTCTTCAATTTTTTGTTTTTGTTTTTTTAAAGATTTTATTTATTTATTTTTTTGAGAGAGAGAGAGAGCCCATGAGTCAGGGGAGAGACGAGGGAGAAGCTGGCTACCTGCTGAGCAGGGAGCCCGATTCGGGACTCAATCCCAGAATCCTGGGATCGTGATCTGAGTCGAAGGCAGATGCTTAACCGACTAGCCATCCAGGTGTCCCTTCTTTAGTTTTCTTTTAATTTTTTTTTAAAGATTTTTAATTTATTTATTTGACAGAGAGACAGCAAGAGAGGGAATACAAGCAGGGGGAGTGGGAGAGGGAGAAGCAGGCTCCCCACCGAGCAGGGAGCCCAATGCGGGGCTCAAACCCAGGGTCCTGGGATTATGACCTGAACCGAAGGCAGATGATTAACAACTGAGCCACCCAGGCGCCCCCAGTTTTTTTTTTTAATTAAAATTTTTATTGAGCTGTAGATTCATATGCAGTTGTAAAAAATTATACAGCGGGATGCCTGGATGGCTTAGTCAGTTAAATGTCCAACTCTTGATTTCAGCTCAGGTCATGATCTCATGGTTGTGGGATCGAGCCCCGCATTGGGCTCTGCACTTGGCGGGGAGTCTGCTTGAGATTCTGTCTTCTCCCTCTGCCCCTTTCCCCACTCATGTGCACATGCTCTCTCTCAAAATAAATAAATAAATCTTAAAAAAAAAAAAAAAAGAAATAATACAAAGAGATCCTTTGTATGCTTTGCCCCCCCCCTTTTTTTTTAAGGTTTTATTTATTTGACAGAGAGAGACACAGCAAGAGAGGGACTACAAGCAGGGGGAGTGAGAGAGGGAGAAGCAGGCCTCCTGCCAAGCAGGGAGCCCGATGCAGGGCTCGATCCCAGGACCCTGAGATCATGACCTGAGCTGAAGGCAGACGCTTAACGACTGAGCCACCCAGGTGCCCCTGCCCCCTTACCCCAATGGTAACATTATGTAAAACTATAGTAAATGATAAGTGATACTGACATTGATACAATCTACTGATCTTATTCAGTTTTCCCAGTTTTACTTTACTCATGTGTATGCACGTGTGTATTAAGTTCTACATAATTTAATCACCTAATTTTAGGTTTGTGTATCCTTCACTAGTCAATATGTTGAATAGTTCCACCACCACAGGTTAACCTTTTAAAAACAATTCCATTTATATAACGTTTTTGAAATGACAGAATTTTAAAAGTTACGGACAGATTGCAGGGGTTAAGGTTGGGGGCAAAAAGAAGCACGCCCCTAGAGTATAAATTCTTAAAATTGATGAAGTCCAATTTACCAATTTTTCCTTTTATGGATTGTGCTTTTGGTGTCAAGCCTAAGAATTCTTTTCCTAGCTCCTGAAGATAATCTCCTAGGTTTCTTCCTAAAGTTTTCATAGTTCTACATTTTACATTTAAATCTATGATTTATTTTGAGGGGTGACTAGGTGGCTCCGTCGGTTAAGCGTCCAACTCTTGATTTTGGCTCAGGTCATGATCTCAGGGTCGTGAGATCCAGCCCTGTGTCAGGCTCCCTGATCAGCAGGAAGTCTGCTTGAGAGTCTCTCTATCTCCCTCTGCCCCTCCCCCTACATGCTCACTTTCTCTCAAAATAAATAAATTTTTTTTTTTTTTTTAATTTGTCAAAGAAAGAGAACACACAAGCAGGGGGAGAGGCAGGCAGAGGGAGAGGGAGAAGCAGACTCCCCGCCGAGCAAGAAGCCCGATGCGGGACTCGCTCCCAGGACCCTGGGATCATGACCTGAGCCGAGGGCAGATGCTTAACGACTGAGCCACCCAGGCGCCGCCCCCCCCCTTTTAAATTTACATTCAAGTTGTTAACATATAGTGTAGTATTTGAGTAGAATTTAGTGATTCATCACTTACATATAATACCCAGTGTTCATTACAAGTGCCCTCTATAGTGCCCATCACCCATTTAACCCATCCCCCACCCACCTCCCCTGTGTGATTTTTTGTGTTAATCTTATATCCTGTGACCTTGCTGAACTCACTTACTAGTTCTATGCTGGCTGTCTTTTATACCTGAGCCAAGAGATCTCAGGAGGGTCCTAAGCATGAGAACCAGGAAACCAGGTATAGGGCTGAGACTACCACAAGGCAGTAGCCATCCAACCCTACAGAGCAGATTCACAGGAGCCTGCAGAGGTGCTAAGTACCAGCTTCATACTTGAGACCATTCTAGACTTATCCCTAATGCCACCTGTTAGATTCCTCTAGCCCTGTGGTAGATAACCAGACTCATGCTATGGGGCACTAAATGTACTCTCTGTCTCAGGCCATACCCATAACTGACACTGTGGCTTTAGTCCCCTGCATACTTCCTGCCCTCCAGGCTGTACTCTGCTTACCTGGCCACTGATCTCTTCTCTTCGGAGTAGTCGAATGGCCAAGCGCAGCAGCCCCACCACTGCCCGCTCTACAAGGAAGCAGAAATCCTGTGCCTGGACACACAGGTGATATAGATGGTCTCGGACAGTCTGCCACACACAACCCACACGGTCCCTGAGGAACATAAAGGTGAGGACAGTCTCAGTTGGAGAGGCCACTGGGCAATAAGTCTTTTTGATCCAGGTTAGGCCTTTCAGAGCTCATTGGTATTATACCCTAAGCAGGCTAAGGTATAATAAACAAGCTTCTCCACTGCCTACAGCTACATGTGCTTCTTGCCCCTAAAGCCCACTCAGCAAGATGGCTCCCGTCTTCCATCCCTTCGGCACAAGCCCAGTATGAGGCCTGCCTAAAGACTGCCTTCTACCTGTTCTCCAGCACAATCCTCAGCAGCACCTCTAGGCAGAAAGCAGCATCCTCCTCATCGTATGTCTCTTCATCTGGTGTCACTGAGACCAGAGCCTAAAGCACAACAATACCAGGAGAGCATGGAGAAGTCAGCCACTGGCCCTGCCCTGACAGAAATTAAGGCAGTCACCATTGTCTCCATCTCCCCTCCCAGACACAGCCAGCCCTTTCATCCCTCCTCTTTCCTCTTCACTCTGTACCTTCATGAGCTCCTGCAGTGACTCCAGCTGAAGGAACTTGCTTTCTGTGATCATCTTTTCTGGATCACATTGCTAGAGGGGATGCAAGAGGGAGGAGGGTCAGTGACAAGGGCTGGAGGGAAGAGAATGTTCCCAAGAGCTAGAGAGAGAGGACAAAAGGCATCAGCTCTGGTCATAAGCCCTGGATGATTCTACTCTTCAGTTTCTAGGGCAACATCTATCCAGTAGGGAGGGATCTAGGCTTGTTTACCAAGGGTAGGCAGAGGCAGTTACCTTGATACAGTCCAAGGCCGCTCTTTTGGCCTCTTGGTTCTCAGTGGATGGGCCCCGCACACTAGACTGCTCAGTACCACTTAGTGTCAGCCAGCTCACAAAGCTTAGTACTGTCGACTCTCCTCTATAGAAAGAGTTCAAACCTTGGTGAGCTCCATAGTTCCGACCCTCCTTCTCCAAGGCCTTTAGCCTCTGATCTGCCCTTACCGATTTGATGGTGTCTCCTCCCTCTGTAGAGAGATCTTGCCATTGGGATCCACAAAATCTTCTACCTGGAAAGTCAGGTCAAGAATAATTTCCTTCCACATGCCCTTTGCATTTTCTGCTTCTCCACGCAAAATTCTCTGGCTTTCTTCTTGTAGCTCAGTGCCCCACACTCCTGACTGGGCCCCCTACAGCTGGTGACTGGCAATGGCTTATATCAGCCTTCTTTTACAGCTATCCCCTCGCCCAAGATCTGTGGTCTTACATTTAAGGTGTTCCTGGTAAGCTTCAGCAGTCACTGGGCCCAGTGCTACTCTCAACCAGTTCCATACACAGATAGCACATAGTTTATGAGCTTTTGCCTTTTATTGTCCACTAGTTTCCTATAAGAATTACCTCCACCATAGCTTTGGGCAGCAGCTGGGCTCGGAAGAGCTGTAGCATGGCCTCCATGATATTCTTCCAGCCCTCCCGCAGGATGTCACCATGACGATGGGCCAAATGGAATACTGTCTTGGCTGCAATGTGGGCTTTGGGGTTGCTTCCAAACACACTGGGAAGGTTCTCAATAGACTGAAAAGGAAGATGAGAAAAGGCTTAGGGTCTGGTAAATGTCTGGAAAGGAGATCTCTTAGGCCTTTACCTATAGTTCCCCAAGGGTCCTTCTGCTTGTTATGGTTCAATCCCCCCTAATACTGGTAGGAAGGGCTAACCTGGTTAAGGCCTTCCCCACTGATGCATCTCCTCTCCCATCCCAATTGCATGAGGTGACACTATTCTCATCCTAGGGGGTGTGAAATAGAAATGGCCTAAGTGCTACTGTAGTCTAGGGGGAGTGAAAGAATATGCCGAGGGAAAACAGCTCCACAGATAAAGATAGATTTATGGCTAAAAGAGAGGTCCTCCTTTGGAACTCTAAGTACACAGTTCTTACCCCTGCTCACCTCACTGCTAAGAGCTGTGAATTTGCACAGAGATATGATGAGATTGTCAAACACATCGCTGAGGCCATAGTGGGCGGAGATCATGGCGCACTTCCTGTAATTTCACATTCCAGAAACAGAGTGAGTCACTGGAAGGCCAAGCAGCCCTTCCAAGTCCCTGAGGAGGCTTACTTGGGATTCTTCCCCAATCAGTCCCAGGAAGAAACCTTTTACTCTTCAATCTGTTTAAGACTGAGCTTTCCCATGCTTCAGCCTCCTTTCAAAAACTCAGAGAAAACCCATTCTAATAAAAATATGAGTAGGAATCAGAAAGGCATGGAGGCAACCATGTTTGCCCAGAGAGGTGAGAGGAGGTCAAGACCAAGGCCACAGCTGGGCTACCTGAAGCCTGAGATGGCTTTCTGGATGATTGTCTCCTCAAGGCTTTTGTCAAAGACATAAGAAAGGGCAGCAATAGTGGGGCCCCATGTCATGGTGAAGAGGTCAAGATCATAGCTGCCAGCAGGCACACGAAGGAATATGCCCTCTGGGGTGGCACCTCGATGAAGCAGCACATTCCACACATAGTTCTCCCGAACCAAGCCTGTCTGCTCTTCAGGCATCACAATTTCCTCATTCCTGTCAGGAGGTAAAGGAAAGAGTAGATGCACTGCTCCTAACTGGTTCCAAACTAGGACAACAGGTTTTGCCCATACTGGTACAGTCCATCAATGAGAGGTCACCAAAAGTGCAGCTCAGTGGTCTGCTTCCTACCCACTAGTGGGACCAGGGAGAAAAAAAGGAAGCACCTAGTAATGCCCCATAATCTCAAAGCCCTGTCTCTAACTGGGGCCTTTAGTTCTATAGTGAGATCTCCATTCTTTCTGGGTATGAGGATGAACATTTCTCTCTACCCTTTCTGATTTACAATAAAAAACTAAGTGCCCCATCTCTGATCTCTGACCCAAACCTCACCCTCCAGTGCCCATCTTGGGTTCTCTACCAGCATCAGAATGCATCTTGTGAGCTGAACAGGAAAACCCAGATGCTCTGGGTTCAGAAAATGGGCCCATGATATTCTACTTAGCAGGGGCAGTTTAGATCCTGGCTCAGAGTACTAGAGCTCCAGTACTATTCAGGTTTCTTTAAGAAATAAATGGGAAGAGGGGCTGCCCAGCTGAGTCTCAAGGCTAAATCCAGGGCATATGAATCACTGAAGTCTGAAGGAACTCTAAAATCTGAGATGCCCAACTATTCTCCACAAATACTCACTTGATGGCATGGTACATGTCCTCCAGGATGTCTTGCTCAAAGTCCTTGCCTCCATTCACACCTTTTAGGTTTTTGCGAAACTCCTAGAGACAGGCCAATAAGCTTTTCCCCCATATGTCAATGCTGAAGCCCCACCTAAAGAACTCCTGGGTCTACGGTAAATAGGACTAAGGAAACAGTAAGTGAAAGAGCCCACATCCCTAACCCAGTTATTTTCCTGGATTGGCCAGCCCTTCCTGATTCCCTTGGACAAACTCTGTCCATTGTGCCCACTGGAAGATCTCATGTCCTTCCTGCTGTACCTCCAAAACTGTGTTGGACCCTCTCTGCCTTGGCTGGGATCCAAGCTTACCTCTAGAGTCATGGGTGCATTCTGTTTGCGAACGTTGTGGTTGTGCTGGTCAGTATTAAGCATGATGACAGCATAGGCCAGGGCAAAGCAGGCATCGCTATTGGCAAATGGGGAGCCATTACAATTCTGAAAAAGCAAAGACCCCACCTGTATCAATGCCCTTCTCTGGCCAATCAAACCTTCACTACCAACCCACTGGCCAATGCTGGATACCTAGGGGGGTTACCAGCCAGAAAGCCTCCAACCTCTTGCCAACTCCTTAACAGAAGCTGGTATCTCTATGGAAAGTTCGCTGATGTTGCTCTCAGCCTTCTTAGGAGACAGCAGCTGGGTCCTTCAGTTGGAGCCATAAAAACCCTCCAGTCAAATGAACCTGGGATGCCGGGCTCAGGCCCTCCCACTCAACTCACTCTCCAATGCTCAGTGAATGCCTCCAGCAATCTCTGGATGACTGGTGCTTCCCCAGGTAAGCGAAAGGCTTCCAGGTAGAGGCGAAGAGCTTCATCCAGCCGTAGGCCCTGAAAGCTGAAGGTGCTAGAGGGAAAGGAAGGACAAAGAGGCTAAAGATATATAAGCTACAAATGTTGGGCTCCCTATTAATTAGCTCTAGTCCCTCTAACCTTTTCATATTGGAACAGAGGAGGCTGAAGGCTCTAGCAAAGGGGAACAATCTTGTGGTCATCTCTACACAGACTAGAATCTGGTAACTCCTAATTTTAGTACTTTCCACATCAGTGCCTTCTTGCCTGGAAACCTCATCCACTAGAACTACCTCGTGCTCAGGAACCCTGGTCTACCCCTTTGCAATGCTCTCTATGCAGAATGGAATGGCTCCCAAAGCTATCTTGCTGGAGACTCTTTCAGGTCCAACAGACATAAGTCATGGGAAGAGGAAGAGTGTGTGACCTCGGTCACCAACAGGAACTGACTGAGACTATTTTGAGGGAGGGATGCCTTGCCCTTTGATCACCAACTATGTCCCCCATTTCTTGCCACTTCCTCACCTCACAAAGCTCTCCAACAGGTCAATGTTTTTGCGGTCACTCACAAACTCTCCAATCATTTTCTTGTCCAGCCGAGGGTTCTCTCGGAGCCACTGGGCTACCTCTATGTTGTCCATTGGGATGGTGAGGAGGCCTTTCTCCTGCAGAAACTGGATCCCCTTCTTTGGTTTCTGGTTGAACTGCTCTGTGCCAGTGATTAGCAGCTGGAGGAGAGATACCAGAGGTGTCACAAGTTGCTCTGCTCCTAAACCAGACAAGGCCAGGCTGAACTCCATCATGGTCCACAGATGGTCATCTAATGGGCTCCTAGGATGTGGTTCTAAGTGACTCCAAAATTAAGGCTGGATCATACCAGCCATAGCTCTTCCCAATCTTCATGTCTAATTAGAACTGGCTGAGGAACTGGGGTGCCCGGCTGGCTCAGTTGGTAGAGCATGTAACTCTTGATCTCAGGGCTGTAAGTTTGAGCTCCATGTTGGGTGTAGAGATTACTTAAAAAATAAAATAAGATAAATAAAATAAAATACATAATTTTTTAAAAATTGCACTATAAGAGGCACCTGGCTGACTCAGCGGGTAGAACATGCAACTCTTGATCTCAGGGTTGTGAGTTCAAGCCCCACACTTGGCATGGAGCCTACTTGAAGAAGAAGAAAGAAGAAGAAGGAGAAGGAGGAGGGGGAGGAGGGGGAGGAGGGGGAGGAGGAGGAGGTGGGAGGAGGAGGAGGAAGAAGAAGAAGAAGAAGAAAAGAAGGAAGGAGAAGGGAGGAGGGAGGAGGAGGAGGAGAAGACGCAGAAGCAGCAGCAGCAGCAGCAGCTGAGGAGCTCCTTTTCACTCATTTTCTGAGTTCTCAAGACGCAGCCCTTCTCCACCAACTTGGCAACCAGGAAAAAGTAGAAGAGAGACTAGAGAAGGTTCTCTTCTCTCTTTTTTTTAAAAATTTTATTTATTTGTCAGAGAGAGAGAGAGAGAGAGCGAGCACAAGCAGGGGGAGCAGCAGGCAGAGGGAGAAGCAGGCTCCCTGCCGATTAAGGAGCCCAATGCGGGACTCGATCCCAAGACCCTGGGATCATGACCTGAGCCGAAGGCAGATGCTTAACCAACTGAGCCATCTAGGCGTCCCTCTTCTCTCGAGTTTTATAGCCGTCCTGGCATCTGTTTATAGTCTAGCTTAGATTTCCCTTCTTTCTTCTGTTTTCCAACTTTTAAGGACAAAGTGAACTAACTGTGATGATAACTCAACTTTTTGTCTGTTGAGTCACAGCCCTGCAATCAAGGGGACACATAAACCAGTCATTTAGGCTGACCATAAGAGGAAGAAAGGGTTAAACAGAAGGTTTTGTGTTTAAAAAAAATTTTTTTTGAACTTTTCTAAAGCACCAGATAAACGTCGATTCCCTTACACTGCCAATCCTTACCCCAGAGCTCGAGATGACCAATAACCTCCAGCGACTCACATGATACCAGGTCCCAGGTTCTTGTTACCACCAGTAACAACTGGCTCACACCCAGGGCAGCATTTGCCCAGGGGCACACAACAGGGTATGCCTAATTACATGGCTTAGAAGTGAAGGCTTTCAAAGGAGACTGGGTGGTTGCTGAAGTCCCAACAAATGCAAAGATTAGCCTTGGGAAACCGTCCAATGAGCTGCTAGACTCTCCCTTATCCTCTGGGACAGAAACCCTACAAAAGACACCCAGACAGAGGCAGGCAGAGGCTAAGTTCTGGGGATAGCCATACACACCTTCTTTTTGTTTTTAATTTCAATCAGTTCCCGTGGATCTGGCAGGAGACAGGAAAATCGAGGTGGCTTCCGGGTAAACTTTTTGTCAGCTAGGAATGGGAGATGGGAGGAAGAAAAGGAAAAACCCATAAGACTGCTTTTACGATATAATGGCTTTTGGAAGGTTGCCACCAATATACTCTCTAGTGAAGAAGGAGAATGCCTCAGAAATTTTCTTGTCCTCATCAGTCTTCCATGTTCCCAGAAGTCCTATCTTCTAGGGCTCCAAACATTTTATTTCCTCTCTCCATGTTTGAGGGCATGGGTGAGCAGTCAAGGTTCAACTGCCTTAGGGTGTCTGTGCCCCTGCCCCCCTTCCCTTTGCTCTCCACCAGACCCTCCAGTTGAGGGGGCTGAGGATCATGGACACCCAGTACCCACCCCCAGAGTCAGAAGCTTCCTCCAGATCACTGCATCCTGGCTTCCCATGTTCTGCTGTCAGCCGCCCTCCACCTGGCAGATGTAGGCCTGGGATGTCTGGGGCTATGCCTACAGGTTTCCCATCACTGGCTGTTCTTTCAGCTGGTAAGAGAGAAGAAAATAAATGAAGATGGGGTAGGAAATCAAGCAGAGCTGCAAGAGAAGTTATGTATTAGGCCAAGGAGACCTGGATAGGTCCCACATAGACCTACACAGGTCACCAGGCCTGAAGACAACAAACCTAAGCCCAAATAAGTAGTCACTGTCCCAGGTTAGTCAAGCATTAGATTCTATAATTTAATAGAGATTACCTAATCCCATTCTCTGATCTTCTGCAACCTCAGTCTCAAGGGGATGTCAGAGAAGATTAATCAGGGTGGAAGCAGATACTGGGAGTGGGGGAAGGTAGGACCTGGACCTTTCAGGAACAGAAATCCTATATCCTTTCATCTAGGTTCTCTTTTCTCCCCATAAAAAAATAAGAATACTCCTATGCTGTATACCTGAAACTAATGTAACATTGTATTTTAACTATGCTTTATTTTATTAAAGATTTTATTTCTTTCTTTTAGAAAGAGAGTATGTGCACACACACATGACCAGGGGGAGAAGTAGAGGGAGAGGGACAAGCAGACTCCATGCTGAGCTCAGAGCCCAATGCAAGGCTTGATCCCACGACCCTGAGATCATGACCTGAGCCGATATTGAGTTGGTTACTTAACCAACTGAGCCACCCAGGTGCCCCCGTTAACTATACTTTAATTAAATAATAATAATTCTATAAGAAAGCCAAAGTGTGGAGGATAAGAAAAGGACAAGTCCATGAGTCTTGCTAATATGCCTGGCCAATGATTCAAACCACCAAACCCTGGAAACACAGAATTGGGAGAGCCCCCAGAGGAAGTGATATAATGGCTGGAGAGAGGATTCAGTGAGTAGAGAAGTGATAAGCATAGAACCCTGGGATCCTCAAAGAAAGAAATGCCTCTCACTATTGCTGGATTCTCGGGAGCCATCTACTGCCTCATAGCCAGGTCTGGCTGCTTCTTTCTTCTCTTGCTGGGTAAGATTGTTGAGGACTTTGGCCTGGCAATGGGCCTCAGTGCTGTCAATCACTGTCAACAGGGCATCAAGAGACAGGAGGTGTGTTGTATAGAGCTGACCAGACACAGGGAAGGCATTCTGGAAAGTAAACAGATCCAGTAGACTTGAGGTGAGAATACTTTACACTTTATCCTTTTCCAAAAACCCTGAAACCGCCTGTAACTTCTACATTGTCCTGAGAAAATGCCTTTCTTCTTCCTGTTCCCCAACTCTCAAGTGTTTCCCACCCCGCATATAGTATGCTCACTACCACCAGAGAGATTTCCTTAATAGAGCCTTTCTAGAGGCCAGTAATAATGCTCAGCACCTTGGACAGCAGCTTGGTGAGGTCTTCAAAGAGGTTTGAACAGTAGTAGTCACAATCATAGTTGATATAGAGCTCAGTGACAAAACTGGGGATGTGCCAGAGCTGCACAATGGCCTCCAGTGCCATCTCCTTCATCTCATAAGGCATTTTGGGGTTCTCCACAGTGATGATCTCCATGAGCTTTTTGATGTACATCTGGCAATAATCCAGTAATAGCCATTTGGGAGGGGAAGGATTCAAGATAGGAGAGAAAAATTAGACAGGTAAACCATTAAACACAAGAAGGAGAAGTCCAGCCAGGAGGCATGCATTAAGAGACCCTTAAAGGTATTCTATCCTCTTTGGCCTCCATGTTGGGGGAGGCCTGGCTCTCTACCTCACACCTGATCCAAAGCAAGTTGCTATTGCCCCTCTTTGTGCTCTCTATGTGAGCCTGACCAGTTTGACTTGCTTGCCTGTGCTGCAGAAGAACTGCTAGGCAGAAAATCATACCCACTCATGGTGAGGTTGTCTACCAGTCTTCGTATTTGGCTTCTCTCATTTTATAGCTAGCCTGTTTCCTCTGGGCTTCTTTAAATTTCTCCACCAAAGAGGCCAGCCAATGAACCAAACTATGGAGGCTAAAAGCACTGTCTACAGGAGCCCCTAAATCCCATCCCTGCAGAATGACAGAGCTGGCCCCATTGAAGATGCTATACATCATTTTTTTTTCTTCTTCCAAGTTCAATACACTCACCTCCAATTGGAACTTGAGGTGCTCCCTCATGCTTTCAAACAGCAGGAAGCATACCCGCAGGGAAGCAGCATAAAGGTTGAGTCGCTCTACACTGAGTAGCTAGAGATCAGAGTAGGGTTAAATCATTAGCTTTCTGAACCTATGGCTCAACCAAGAGAAAAGCAGGAGAGCAAACTGTGTGAGGCTGCCACTAAGGTCCTGTGCTCTAAGGGAACTCTGTAGCTAGCCATTCCCGTATTTCTCTTTGGCTGCCAGAGTCCCCAGGGAACTAATAGTATCCTTCTGACAATGACCACTGGCCAACTGGGGAGGGAGGTTCTTTTCTGGATCCTATACTTTTTGCACCAATCAGCCAAATGTCCCCGTGCACTCTTGGTCCTGAAGAGACCCTGAAAAACAGCCAGGGGCTCAGAGCCCCTCTAGAAATCCAGTCTTACCTGGAGTAAGTGGCGGCACATCTCATCCTTGATGAGGCCCAGGAGGGTTTGGCACTGGGCTACAGGGGCTGATTCAAGAGCCACTGTCAGCAAATGCAGTCCCATGTGGATCATAACCTCTGAATTGTGGCGGTCGTGTGGATTGGTCAGGGAGATGAGGAAGCGGAAGAGCTCACGGATGCAGGGAAGACCACAGGGGACCAAAGCTGTACCTAGGGAAGGCCAGGAGTAAAGTGGGATTGCTAAGAAACAACTGGCTTGACAGCTTGGCCTGGCCTGCCCTGCATTATACAAGGCAATTTCAGATAAGTGATTCTCTTCAAGGAAAAAAAAAAAGTTTTCTTTCTGGGGAGGTAAGAAGGTTACTCTCACTTATTGAAGGCAATCAGAATTGATGATCCTACCTTCTGTTAAAAGTCCCAAGCTTTCTATTCTTCCCTCTCACTTCCTACTATCCACCAAAGTCCCTCTCTGTATAAGTTAGAGAAGGGCTCCATCCAAGCCAACAGTCCTCTGGCTTGATTCCATTTCCTGACCAGAAAATGGCCTAGAACCTGGACCAGAAGACACTTTGGGTCCAAGATGGTCTAGACTCAGGATGCTTAGTGGGCAGGATGGGGGAGGTGAACAGGCACAGCCTGCCTGAGAGAACTCACCTTCCTTCTGGGAGGACTGTGTAAAGCGCACACCCCGGGGATTGACGTAATCCATGTCATGGACAGAGGCAGAGTCAGAGTGGTCAGCAGGGGACGTGCACTCCTCTAACACTTCAGGGATGGATTCCACGGATGCTGACTGGGCCTTTTCCACATGGACCCCTTCCTGCTATGACCAGTAGCAGGGGGATAGGAAGAGGGATGAAACAAGAGCAACTTGGAACTTATTCCCCTGAAGTGCCTATGCTCCAAGTGTCTCTAATGGACTGCAGATATAGGGCCAGCTCAGTGGGCTTATGAATCAATGCAAGATGCAAGGTGGCTCAGGGCAGAGTATGATGAAAGACTCAGAAAGCACCTCCTGAGGCATCAGTTGACCTAAAGTGACTAGAACTCTAGAGGCAACAGAGGCTCTCTTAGGCTTGGGGTTTAAATCATTACCTTCCAGACAAAGCTATGGCCATCTCCCTCACCTCTGCCAAGTACTACCTGTATGCATGACTTCATAAATCCCATGAGCTACCTCTCACAGTGAGTCTTGCTGTGGATTTTCTACACAGCACAGCTGATTCTAGGAAACAAGAAATAACCCCCTACCCCAACCTTCTTTTGAGCCAAGGCCTGGACAAAGGATGCAAAGGATCAAGCCAATTCCCACAGGAGAAGACTAGAGAGGGGCCTTTAGAAATCAAAGCCATACCTGGGGGTCAGGCTGCTCAGGAACCCCTAGCTCACTGCTGCCAGGCTCTGTAGCTGTGCTATACCCTGGAGAGCCAGGTTGTTCCAGGTCAGTAAGGTCCTCCTTGGAGGTGGTCTGGGAGGAGAACTCCAGGCCACTGTCTGTAGAGGGGCTGACCACCGCTGAGGCAGCTTCTGAACTTGCAGAGGAGATGGGAGTGGGCACATCAATGAAGGGCATGCCCCCTGCCAAGCAAAGTAAGTAAGGCTTGAAGCTGAGAGACTCTGTGCAAAACACATACCCTCCATGGCACCAGGGGCTCTGTTTCCTAGACTGCATAATAATCTCTGTAAACGATGGTCTCTAAAGTAGTCAGAGTCCCTCTGGAAGGAGAACAATCTTAAGTCACTGCAGAATTGCTAAATGGTCACAGTCTGAACAGACCTGGAGTTTTCCTTTTTGCACTTAGCAGAAAGACCAAAGCCCCTCAACTGGCTGGTTTTCAATATTAAAATCCCCAAGAGAGGAAGGACATTTTCTTCTATCCTAATCAGGGGAAGCAACCCAGGGCACTCACCTGTGGGGTTAGAGGATAAGGTAGTTCCATTGGGGGTGGGCAGCTCTGAACCTGATGTGACTTTGGTCACATGGCGCAGGGGCCGGGGGGATCTCTTCTGTTTCTTCCACTTGGATGAATCACTCATGCCTCCTGCTCTCATTTTCAGCTGGAAATAGAATACCTCATTAGCATTGGTATTCAAACTAAGATTCTTTCCCTAGAAATCTCCCTTCTTTTATTTCTACTGGTCCCTAGAAAACAGACTATATGTCACATTTGTGCTAAAGGAAAAATCTAGACCATCAGAGCACATTCCTACTCCTCTAACCTGGCTTCTACATCTGCCACTTCACAGATCAGCCTGGCAGCCTCCTAAACATTCTACTTTTAGGCTGATCACACATTACTCTGCTTCCCTGAGTCCTGGGTGGCAATCCTAAGTCCTGTAGATGGTGGCCTCTTATAGAAAGGGTGAGGGCAGAGGCTCCTTTGCCCGAAGCTTCAGATCTACAGGTCCTGGATTCCTGGGCTTTGTTCAACTACCTGTAGCACAGCCTCCTACTCCAACTATGGTTCTCTCAACTATGAGAGTCTACACTTTCCCCGTCACACTCAGCTTTCCCACTGCTTCGTGAACTGGGCCTAGATTCTAAACATATTCCTGGCTCTCTGAAATTTTTGCATCAGATTGGTCAAAGGCTCATTCCTTGGAGTTAAGGAAGGAGTGGTATCCCAGCCGATTTGTGGAGTTAAGGATGGAGGGTCATGTCACGCTGCTGTTCTGCTCTCTACTGCTCCCAATTTTGGTACATCACTGAGACCTGTCCTTCTCACTGTTGGGTCTTTCTAGATGCAATTTTATGTTTTCAAGTGGTAAGGCTACTGATTTCTTGGACCCTTGCTCTATTCCATTTCCTTCTCTCCTGCTGTATTTCCATTTCTCCTATAGCTTCCTTTTAGTCACAAAGGAAAATCTCTAAAACCTATTGTGGGAACTATTCTGAGATATAAGTTTTTATGTATTTTCTCCACCCTAAGCTCACAGCTACTTTGTTTAGGCCCATTTCATTTTCCTGGTCTTGATGCCTTCTATTAGGGTTTGAAACCAGTCCCTCTACAGTTATACCATACTATTCCTAGACTGATGGACCATCCCTGGACTGGGCAACAGTAATGGTCCAGGAACCATCAGAATGCCTCTAAGAGAGTAGAAGCATTCTTCCTCCCTGCCTCTTTCTAAAGGCTGAATATACCCAGGCTATCCTTCGCCTGTTTGATTCCTTCTAGTATTTGGAGGATAGGCCTCCTTCCTCAACCTCCCCAAGCCCTCCCGAACATGGGTAACCACTGATCCTTTGCTTAGAAACCACATAATTCTTCCTTCCTTACCAATAGCTCCACCCAGAAAGGAAAGAGGTCCAAGAGTTGAGCCCTGCACCCAGCTCTTACTAACACAGCAACAGCCTCATACTGGATTTTCACTTCTTGTCCCCCCATCTCCAAAATGCCTACAGTAAAATGCCTAGCATGGAGCTTCAAGTGCTCTGAGCACTGTGGCTACACAGGAACCAGGGTGCTCTCTCCAGTAACCACTGAAGCTCATCTGTAGCAAGTTCATGGTAAAAAGAATGTTCTGGGAGTAAGAGTCAGCCAAATATACAGTCAAGAAGCTCAAGAGATCAATGAGAGAAAACAAGAACCTCCTGAGTTTATCAGCAATTGTTACTGAGGTCCAAAAAGTACTAACATCTGGATCCACTTTTGTGAGCTATCTTCTCTCTAGGTGGCCTCCCAATTTCAGGGACTCTAGGTGGTTCTACTTCCACTGAGAAGCCAGTCACTCATTGAGATTCCTTCCTACACTAGGATTAGTCCTTCCTGTTTCCTTTTCTAACCTCTGCAAAGCTAGCTCCAACGTGATCATTTCAATTAGTATTCTCTGTCTCCTGGCCTCTCTGTCTCACAAATGCCTCAGCCCTTAAAAAGTACAGTTATGCTCCCTTGTCCTAAGGTTCTAAGGTTGGGGCTGGGCAGTAGGTGTTCATGGAACCCTACAACACCTTATCCATATAACTGTATTTCCAAAGGGCAGTATAAGCTTTACAAAGAAAGGTCCTAGGTTAATAATCATGGCAAAACGCTGGGAAGCTACTAAAGAGAAATGCAACTTGTGATGAGTCAAGCACACAAATGAAAATTGACACAATTCATGCAAACAGAATGCAGGCCTATGGACCATCTAGCTAGGTGTACAGACACACATTTCTTTTTATCTTCAATGACCTGGGCTATCCAGCTCCTTCCCATCCATCTAGAGTCCTAAATCTTGGAATAAGTCCTTTAATGTTAACTAAGAAAAAAAAGAACCCAACTAGATGGATTTTCCTTTCCCTCCAAACCCAGTTCAAGTGTCCAAGTAGAGTTAAGACTGTGCTTAAGCTCCATATGCCGGCTCTGAGACAGGAGAGGGTAGAAGGGGTAAGGGCCTTGCTTAGAGGTCGCTCACAGCTCCCCTAGAAATGGTAGATATTAAACCTCCTACCAAGATGTCAGCAGGACCCAGGCCCTCTACCTAGGCTCATTACATGATGTATCACCAGTTCAAAGCTTCCTTCTGCCTCCAGGCAACCAAATGCCCCAGGAAAACTCCCAACACTGCAAAGCTACAAACACATGCAACGCTTCCAAAGCCATGCTGTGTTACTAGGGAGGGGTAAGTTGTGCTTTGCACAATGGAAATGGGACCCAGATGTTATATATACATATACATATATACATATATATATATGTGTGTGTGTGTGTGTGTGTGTATATATATAATAAACATTAAATAAATTAAAAGGAGGAAAGGAGAGGGAGAGGGAGAGAGACCTTGAGGTTCTTAAAGAGTAGTACCCTCTCTAACTGGTTCAGGGCTTTGGTCTGCTCCCCACTACTTAGCTCCAGTTTGTTGAGGAGACATGGAGAAATCTGTGAAAGACAGGCAAACGAACGATTTAAACAAAGTGACATAAACTCAGACACACGCCAACAGAGCAGAGGGCAGGAATGGGGATGGATGGCTAGGGAGAAGGAAGGTCAGGTGCATGCACCAAACAGCCAAGGGTCATCTCCATGGGCAGAACCTCTTAGGGCTGCAAGTAGAATCATCAGAGGCCTGTGAAGTCCAGGACTTCAGTTCAAGATAGAAAGAGGCCATTCTTCTGACCACCATTCTTCTAGCAGTTTGAGAACCTTCTGATCTAGTCAGGCTTGATTTGTCTCGTCAACAGAGACTAGTGCAAGTGTGAGCCCAGTCTAATCCAGCATTAGGGTGGAACTTAGGGCATAGGGTCCTCAGGCCTCCTACCTGCCAACAAGGCTGGGCCTTGAGGGGATGGTAGGACGTTCACCTTTATCAACATACATTTTTATCGCAACCTGATCAGCCTCACCAAGATTCCGTAAAAGACTGGCTCACCAGCTTATGTGTTGGATCAACAAAGATAGGCTGGGAAGGAAAGGTTGGGGAAGAAGATGTATCTGGGGAAAAATAAATTTCTCACTAAAGGAGTGACAGCTGTTTCTAGATTCCAGGCAGACCTGTAAAGGCAAAAGCATGTTTTTGCTAAGCAAGGGTACCCAGGAAAATCCCCATAGCACTGAAGTTGGGAGACCAAGGTTTGGATGAGGGACAGCAGGTCATACCTTCTTCATGTTGGTCCCCATATAGTTCTTGGGTTCTTCTTTAAACTGAGGTAACCTATAAGACAGAGAATCCCATGGACTGTCATTAGGGATAATAACAAATCTCCCCTGCATGCCAGCCATAGTCCAAAGGTGCTCTGGGCCAGAGCATGCCCTGTCTCTTAGGAAAAGCTAGGAAGAGAAGCAGCTTTTTGAGAGCCTCATCAAAGGAAGAAATTGGGGGACTTACAACACTTTCTTAAAAAGAAGGTAGTCACCAGGGCAAGGTGACTAAGTGCTCTTGGAGTATGGTGGCTCTTTTCATCCTAAACTGACTCCTTCCTGCTTGTGTTTACCTGACAAGTACTGATGAACGCCACAAGATGGGGAAGAGGGCAGTCCATCAAAACCCTAGGAGACTCAGCAAAGAGTGAGGAGTTAAAGGTAGGTTGAGTTTTGAAACCAATAAATCTGAGCCTGAGGAGTAAGAACACTGCAGCAGGGCCCGGGGGCAGATCTGGTCTGTAGATAGTAAGAATTATTACTTATAGATTTGAGAGCAAAATGAAATCCCATGGGGAAGTTTTTTTGTTTTTTAACTAGACTGTTTTTTAGAGCAATTTTAGGTTCATAGCAAAACTGAGCAGAAGGTACATTGATTCCCATATAATCCCAGCCCCTACAGATGCATAACCATCCCCATTATTAATATCACCTAAGGAGCCTTTAAAGCCCTTGCCTCAGTCAGATCTTCTCAAAATCATTCTACTGAAAAAAGGTATAGGAAACAGGCAGTTAGGCATAGTATGAAAAGGCCCCCTAGGCCCTAAACTGAGGGCCTTGACTAGGGTAACCAGTGGTCCTGGGGTGCCAGAGACTGAAGGGTTTGCAGGGATGCAGGACTTTCAGTGCTAAAATCGGGACAGTCTGGGTAAACAAGGTTGTCACCCTAGCCTTGGTCCTTCCTCACAGAGCTCAGCACCCTATTCCAGGCTCCCTTGAATTTCGCTTCCTTTATGGGTTCCCTTTCCCAGCTGCTACCTGCACAGAAACAGACACAAGTTTGGGAAGCAGAACAAGGTCTGTCAGCCTAGATCAAATAACCCTCTGCCTCCCCCTGAGGCCAAGCCAGCTCCCTCCTCCTTCTCCCTTGTTCAGTAACCCTGGACCCAGGGAACTACCCCCATCCAAAATCCCAGTGGCCCCTGAAGTGGCTGTAGGGTTGGCCAGGTCCCTGAAGTGGCTGTGTGGAAGCAGGCAGGCTCAAGAGGCCTGGGCAGCCGGGCTGAAGCAAACAGCAGCAGGTTTACCTTGTGAAGAGCAGCTGCACCATGTCTACGAGAGTGTGCTCTGCGGATTTTCTCAATAACTCTGCACAGGCAAAAACAAATAACACAGGTGTCATTACTTGCTGTGCTATTATCAGGAGACGTCTCAGAGCAGACTCCCCTCCAAACCTTGTTTACTAAGGATTATGCCAAACTTATTAAAACCAGCTCCAGCTCAGCCTGGCAGCCACAACTGCACTAGCCCACTAGATGGCACTACTGAGTCAGGAGAAAAAAGGAGGGGGCACAATGATGTGTTTTCATGGGCTGCAGGCTAGTGTCAATCCCAGAAACCCCAAGGGAGGAAGATTTGGTGCCTGGGCTGAGTCAGTCGGGGATCTATCCCAGTTCCTGCCCTGGCACAATGAACTAAGGTCTCTATTCCGCTGTACAACAATCAAGTAAAGACTTCGAGATCCCTATGGCTCCACAAGGTAGGTGATGGAGAAGCCCTGAGTTTTCTACCTCTCTGGGGTTCAGAGACAGCATCCGATATTTATACTCATGGACACTGGCCCTAGAAATGATGACAGGCCCAATATTCAAGCACCTACCACTGAGCCTCATTTCGAAGCAGATCCGGAAGCAAGACTGCATAATTTCACATACAGATTCATTGGTTAGGTGGGCACCCGCTGGGGTCAGCAACAGAGTCCGCAGCACCTAACCAGGAAGAAAGAGGAGATACAGTGATAAATAAAGCAGGCTGGGTAAAGTGGGGTGCACCTGAGGGGAGAGAAACTGCCTCCTGTTCCTCTAGTCTCCTATGGAAGCACTCAGGGGTGAGAAAGAGAGGTTAGCAAGAATGCTGACCTCACTTCAGTTTGGTAGGGGGCATCTCCCAGGAGCTTGTCTTGGGAACTGTGCCCAATCCAGCCCTGGCCCACAAGCCCAACAGATGGACGGCAGATATGGTCTGCCAGCGGTACATGTGTATTAAGGGCTTCCAGTATCTGATATCAATTCATTTAAAGCTCTTAATTATTTCCTTAGAAGAAGCTTTTACTTTGGGTACCGGAGCTACTTGTTTGGAAACAAAGTAGCTCCCTAAGCCCCAGTGGAGTCAAAACACAGTTTCATGCTGCCTGCAGACTTGGGTAAGGATTGGGTAAGGAGAGCTGACAGCACCAGCTCCTGGCCATCAGCCTAACTGCTCTTCCCATCCATTTACCTGAAGGATTTTCATCAGGACAACCTCATCGCTGGCAGGATCTGTGCCCACAAAACGGGCGTGGGTGACAGCATCTGCCATGTTCTCCATGCCCTCTGCTGTGCCCTCATGAGTGGGATCTGCTCCAACAAAAAAAGAGAAGACTAAATGGTACAGAGAGGAGAGACAGAAAAGGCAAGATATCCTGTATAGGATTTTGTTTTTCTCCTCTCCAATTTCCTAACCCATGGCTACTTAAGCTACCTGAGAATTTTGCCCATAACTGGTTTTAAAAAGCTCCTCAGCACAAATCCCACTGTGTTAAACAGTGGTTCTCAAACTTAAGAATATATCAGAATCACTCAGAAAACTTGTTAAAAATACAAATTGCTGAGCCTGCTCTGAGAACTTCTGAATTAGCGGGGCCTGAGAATTTGCATTTCTAACAAGATCCCAGGAGGATTTAATGCTGCTGGTCAGGGGCATCATACTTTGGAATCACTGGTGTAAAGCTACTCATTTCATAAGGAAGGGCCTAGAAATACGAGTTTTTGGCCCACAGCAAGGGCCAAATAGGGCCAGACCTTTGAACACCAAGATTGTAGCCTTTCTCTGTTCATGTGTTCTCTTTCAACACATCTCTCTCTGGTTGCTTTTAGAGTTTTGTGTTCAGGTGCAACTGAGGCTGGGGAGTACGGCAAAGAAATGGATAGTCACTGCTGCTGATACTTAACCTGGGTGCCACATTACAACAAATCAGAGAGCTCTTCCTGCTTTGGTTTCATTTTTATTTAAAACAATATGACACAAAACAAGAATCATTTTACCAGCTTAACTAAACAAGCATTAGAAGAGAAAGGGGACAAACTAAACAGGACTGGAGGCTGGCTGACTGGGGAGCAGGAGGAAGAGAGAATTTCAATAGTGAATAAGAAGAGGGGAGAAGCTAGCTCAGCCAACCAGCACCATGCTGGAAACTAACACAAATGCTGCCAAGGGGGAAACTGCTCCCATTCATGTGTTAAAATATACACAAGGAGAGCCAAAGAAGTGGCCTCTATCAAGGCCTACAAGGGTCCCGCAGAACTGCCTGGATTATCCTTGAAAGGGAAACATAAGTAGGAAAAAAAAGGCAGGGACAAGACAAAGCTTTGCAAGTGACAGAAAAAGTTGCTCCAGAGGGGGCATGGTATAATACAGGAACACCTTCTAGCATTAAGAGGTGAGAATTAAAAGAAATCTTATCATTTTCTTTTTCCTGGTACCTGAAATTAAGAGTTCCTGAGTCTAGGGCGCCTGGGTGGCTCAGTTGGTTAAGCGACTGCCTTCGGCTCAGGTCATGATCCTGGAGTCCCAGGATCGAGTCCCGCATCGGGCTCCCTGCTCAGCAGGGAGTCTGCTTCTCCCTCTGACCCTCCCCCGTCTCATGCTCTCTCTCTCTATCTCATTCTCTCTCTCAAATAAATAAATAAAATCTTTAAAAAAATAAAAAATAAATAAAAGGGCACCTGGGTGGCTCAGTTGGTTAAGTGACTGCCTTCGGCTTAGGTCATGATCCTGGAGTCCCTGGATTGAGTCCCACATCGGGCTCCCTGCTCGGCAGGGAGTCTGCTTCTCCCTCTGACCCTCCCCCCTCTCATGTGCTCTCTCTCTCATTCTCTCATTCATAAATAAATAAATAAATAAATAAATAAATAAATAAATAAATAAATAAATAGAAGAGTTCCTGAGCCTAAGTTCAGGGGGATAGTTGAGAAACCAGGACATTTCCCTTGCAACAATGAGCCTGAAGACTTTCATTAATTATAAGTGGTTTTCATTTTTCTCTTCTGTCCTGGTTCCTCTCTGACACCTGGCCAAAGACTCAATTTGTCCTTACAGCATGCCCCTACTCAGCATCAGGAGTGGTTACTTAGAGGTCATGCAGAAGGAAGCCAATTTCATGATGATACATAGTATACGGGTGACCCAGCTCTTTTTTTTTTTAGATTTTATTTATTTATTTGAGAGAGAGAGAGAATGAGAGAGAGAGCATGAGAGGGAAGAGGGTCAGAGGGAGAAGCAGACTCCCTGCTCAGCAGGGAGCCCATGTGGGACTCGATCCCGGGATTCCAGGATCATGGCCTGAGCCGAATGCAGTTGCTTAACCAACTGAGCCACCCAGGCGCCCAACCCAGCTCTTTCTATCACCCCAATTCTCCATGTTTCTCCCATTTGACTCAGAAAATCCTATACTCTGAAGGCCCTTGGCCTGAGTCTTCTCTCATAGCCCCGTCTGACCGTCTTTATTCAGGCCTCCAGGGTCCACAGCAGGACTTTTCCTCGCACAGGAAATCCAGGTCCTCAGTGTTGTGTGGTGTTTCAGAGTTCAGTGAAGCGCAGCTTTGCTCCCACCTCACAAGGCTCCTAGGGGTCTATTTCTTCCCCTCTTTCAGTCATCTCCCTTGTTAAAGTAGTTTAACTGATCTCTTTGTAGCTCTTATCCTCTGAGCCTGAATGAAGTAGTAAAGTTAATCTTCTAAAAAGGCAGGTAGGAGTGACAGGTCTTTAGAACTATAGGCAGAGCCTGCCAGGCGATCAGTGGCACAAATCCTGGTCTGGCAGCTGTGTGGGGCCAAACAAAAGGCTGATCCTTGGAGTAGGACCTAAAATAATCCTAGAAGCCTTGGGTCACAGGATTGAAGGGTAAGGGATATTTCTTCTAGGATAGCCTAAATAAAAGATTGTTTGGCTTGGGCTCACTTAGCAGAACTTGTCTTCCCCAGAACCCCTTCCTTAGAATGTCCCCCTTTCCTGGCCACTCTGGAGCAGAATGCAGGGAAATTTGCCAATCTCAACTCCTTTGCCTTCTGGCTTTCATATACTCCTTCCTTCTCCCTTTCTGATGCCCACTGCAATCACCACCTCCAGCATTCTCTTTTCCCACCACAGGAAACTCCAATGACCAGCTGGCCTGAGGTCTCCAATGACAAGCTGTCTGCCAAGCCCAGGAAGGGGAGAGAGTAACACTGACGAGAGCAAAGGGAAGAAGCACAGGGTGTGGTGGCTGGAGGCTGTGGAGAGAGATGACCTGCAGGTGGTGCTCAGGGTAAGGCTGGAAATAGCTGGGGCTGATTTTTGCTTAGGAAAAGTATGAAGTTAGGACTAGGGTGCCTAGACAGGCTTATACACCTCTTCAGAACCTAGCTGGCATCTAGGATTTCTGCTAAGGGTCCTAAATGCTTCAGCTAAGCAAATCCCACTTTCTAGAAAACATAAAGGGTTTTCTTGCCCTGAACTGAAGGCCATTTTTTTTTTCCTGGCTAGCTACAGCCTGAGCTGTCTCTTTTCTTGTCTCCTTACTTAGAAACAAAGACAGCTGCCTGTTTTCTATGTTCTCACCCTTGCACATGGGCTAGCAATAGGGGAAAAGGAATTCAGGATCCTGAGTGACAAGACCAACTAAAAAGGAATCCAAAAAAGACAGCATAAACAAATTCAGAGATAATAGACTAGATAAAATATTTGGGCTAGATTGGGAGAAAATATTTGTAGTACTATGATAGACAATGGGTTAATATCCCCACTATACAAAGAACTCCTACAAATTAGTAAGAAAAACAAAACAATTCAGTAAGAGGAAAAGGAGTTGTTCAAATGTTTAACTTAAAAAAAAATTAAAAAAATAAAATAACAGTTTTCACCCATCGAATTAGCAAAAATAAAGAATACTGCTAATATTCAGTGCTGGTGTCAGGGTGGGGAAATGGAAATTCTCAAACATTGGAAGTATAAATACTATAATCTTCTGGGAAAGCAAGCTGGTAGTACCTATGAAAATATAAATGCACATGGCCATTAATCCAAAAATTTCAAGTACAGGAGTCTGTCATACAAAGGAAAATTAATAAATAAGGAGATATGAGCAAGAATGCTTATTTCAGCTTTATTTATAGTGGCTCAAAATAGGAAACCTAAATATTAAATATTAATAAGAGATCTTTTAAAAAGGATTTTATTTATTTGAAAGAATGCACATATGAGCGGGGGGGCAGGGTGGCTAGAAGGGGAGAGGGAGAAGCAGACTCTGCAGAGAACATGGGGATCCATGTGGGGCTTGATCACAGGACCCTGGGATCATGACCTGAGCTGAAGACAGACGCTTAACCAACTGAGCCACCCAGAAAGACTGATGTTGTATCTATATGATGGAAATTACACAGCTTTACTAAGAAGAAAAAAATCCTACCAGAGGCTGAGGGGAAGGGAAATAGTGTATTGTTCCCTAATGATTAGAGTTTCTTCTGGGGTGAAAAAGTTTGGGAAACAAATGGTGGTGGATGATTGTATAACACTGTGAATGTAATTAATGCCACTGAATTATATACTTAAAAATTATGAAAATGACAATTTTTATATTATATATATCTTACCTAATAAAAGAAAAATATACAAACTTCCAGTTACAAGATACATAAGTTCTGGGCATGTAATGAATAACATTGTAGCTATAGTTAAAAATAATACATTGTAGGGGCGCCTGGGTGGCTCAGTCGTTAAGCGTCTGCCTTCGGCTCAGGTCATGATCCCAGGGTCCTAGGCTCACGTCCCGCATCAGGCTCCCTACTTGGTGGTGAGTCTGCTTCTCCCTCTCCCTCTGCCTCTGCTTGTGTGCTCTCTCTCTCCTTCTCTATCAAATGTATAAATAAAATCTTAAAAAAAAAAAAATACTACATTGTATATTTGAAAGTTGCTAAGAGAGTAGATCTTAAAAGTCCTCATCACAAGAAAAAAAAATTGAAACTATACAAGGTGATGAGTGTTAACTAGATTTAATGTGGTATTCATTTCTAACATGTATACTAAGTCATTATGTTGTATACCTTAAACTAATATTTTTTTTAAAAGATTTTTATTTATTTGAGAGAGAGAGCGTGAGAGAGAGCATGAGAGGAGAGAGGGTCAGAGGGAGAAGCAGACTCCCCGCTGAGCAGGGAGCCTGATGTGGTACTTGATCCTGGGACTCCGGAATCATGACCTGAGCCGAAGGCAGTCGCTTAACCAACTGAGCCACCCAGGCGCCCCTAAACTAATATAATATTATACATAAATTATATTTCAAAACTGGGGGAAAAGAATAAATCAGAGGGATAATTATATCATGTACAATCTAAGTTAATACTATTAAGTGAAAAAAGAAAATCCAAAGCACATACTCCTTTTTTTTAAATGGTACTTTACATATATTTATATACATGTAGAGAAAGGTAGAGAAAGATTCAAACCAGTCTGTCAACATTATTTATGTAAGGAAGAAGAAGGAACTTTGAGAGAGAGGAGACACCACTAATTTTTCTTTTAGTCACCTCTTTATTGTTTATCTTCTTAAAATAAGCATGCACTGTATTTGAAAAATAACTTTAAAAAGAAACCAAACCAAACCTCCAAGGGCACCATACCCTTAATTCCCTCCAAAGCATGTAGAAACCAGAGTCCCAAGGAAACCCCCCTCCTCCCCACTCTGCATAACCTGAGTCCATTAGCATGATGAGTAACCAATAACTGTCTTATTTCTCTCCTACAAGGAAACAGATGGCTAGGAGAAAACTTCCATTGCCACCAGCTCACTACCTAAAGCCTGACCACCCCAGGAGAGGCAGGAAATGAAGTGCTATGGTCATCCAAGTAGGCCTGAGCTCTTACCTATGAGTGCATAGGACAGGAACTTGTTGACAGAGGTGAGCGCCAGTCCAGTGATAGGGCCAGTGGTATCTTCAGAGCGAATCACTTCCAGAAATGGACGGAGGAACACATTGGGCTCAATTTCTGAGAGTTCTACAAGAAAAGAAACAGAAATGAAGGGATGCCTTCTTATCTGTGCCATAAGGCTAGAATTCTTAGTTACTAGGTCAATCTTCCTTCCTCTGGATTACCTTAAATCAAATCACAGACATTGTATTATTTTATCTATAAAATTTTTAGTATGTAGCTCAAAGATTAAGAAGTTAAAAAACAAAACAAAACACATTATTGGGGCGCCTGAGTGGTACAGTCAGTTCGACGTCCAACTCTTGGTTTCAGCTAGGGTCATGATCTCAGGATCGTGGGATGGAGCCCAGCATCAGGCTCAATGCTCAGCATGCAGTCTGCTTGAGATTCTCTCCCTCTGCCCCTCCTGCTTGTGCTCTCTCTCAAATCAATCAATCAATCTTAAAAAACCCACAGTATCATTATCACGCTTAAAAAAGTAGCAATAGGGGCGCGCCTGGGTGGCTCGGTAAGTTAAGCGTCCAACTCTTGATCTCAGCTCAGGTCTTAATCTCAGGATCTTGAGTTCAGGCCCCACACTGGGCGGCTTTTTTTTTTTTTTTTTTAAGATTTTATTTATTCATTTGAGAGAGAGAGTGCGCACAGAGGGAGAAGCCGAATTCCCTGCTGAGCTGGGAGCCCCACACAGGGCTTGATCCCAGGACCTAGACATCATGACCTGAGGCGAAGGCAGACACTCAACCATCTGAGCCACCCAGGTGCCCCAATATAGTAAATTTTGTTTTATATATATATATAATTTTAACAATAATTTAAAAATTAACAGTAATTCCTTAATGTCACCAAGTACTGTTGGGTCAATTTTCCATGTCCATTTCACCACTCCTCCTAGTGACAGATAGATAAACCTCAACTCAAGTTGGCCAAACAGGTCCCAGGATGAGCTACCCTCTTTATGTCTTTTGCTGTTATGGTCAAGGTCACTTCCCTTACAGATAAAAATGTAGCACACCCCAGGAAGGTGAGGAAAAACCCTGAGGTTTCTAGTCCTTGCTGAAAAATAAGCCTAAAAAGAACAAAAGGCTGCACAGTCCCTACTCTTGGAGACTGTAATCTTGCAAGGTCCTAACCACTCTTCGGCTTCCTTTCTGCCTAGAGCACAGCAAAGGGCTAACTGCTCTGAGATGAAGGAGCAATTAATAATCTTTATTTTACAGATGAGAAAAATAAGGTTTAGATAAACTACATGATTAGCCCCAAATCACATCTAATAAGAAGCAGAGCTGGGATTTGAATGCAGTCTGTATACATGCTTTCAAAACTTGTGAAACCATTACATCTATTCTACCTAACTACCAGCACAAACTCCTGAATTTAGAAGGCTTCATTCCAGATCTAAGAAGCTATACTGCACTGGCCTTACTCTCTTCCCTACTCTACAGTTTGTTTTTCTAGAGTCTGCAATGCTTTTATCTTTCAGAGACCAGCTCACTAAAAGCCTTCCTAAATTGCTCAGAAAGATTAAGGGGCATGATCAAGGCTGCCCACCTTTAGAGACAAAAGAAAGCTGGGTTTTCTAAGTACCTTCATTTTCATGCAAATGTAGGGAGCTTCCCACTCCATTCCTACCACCCCCCTCTTTGAGTAAACATTCCCTGGGCCCGGCTGCTCCTCAGATTAATGCTTTAATTAATTGGCAGATTGGGTAGCATTTTCCAAGCCTGTATGGACAGTGATCACATCAGCTGTATAAAACCTGCTTCTTATCCCCCACCTACCCCCACCTAGAGATGTACAATTTGCAGGAAAAACCTAGAAGAAAACCTTTGTGTGTGTGAGGTGATAGAGGGTTGAGATGTAAGGAATGGAAATACTAGGAAAAACTGAAATATATAAAATACTTTTGTGTAAAGCATATTAAAAAATATAAAGTCACCTAGTCTTGCTTTAGAAACATTAACTATTACATATGATTTGGTCGGTCACTTAAAAAATATGGTCATAGTTAGTATAGTTGAGATATAAAAGTCTAGATGTAAAAATAATCTTTAATTAAGAGGTGGGAAAGGAAAGATTTTCTGAGCTTTCATCCAGTTGCTATAACTGCATTTTCTTCATGGTGAAAGACTAGGGAAATTTTACAGCCATGGCTTGACACTTCCAGAGCCATGTGCATTTTTAATTTTTTTTTAAATAAGATGTCTTTTCTTTCTTTTTTTTTAATAAAGATTTTTATTTATTTATTTGGCAGAGAGAGAGACAGTGAGAGAGGGAACACAAGCAGGGGGAGAGGGAGAAGGAGAAGCAGGCTTCCCGCGGAGCAGGGAGCCTGATGCGGGCTTGATCCCAGGACCCTGGGATCATGACCTGAGCCGAAGGCAGTCGCTTAACCAACTGAGCCACCCAGACGCCCCCATGTGCATTTTTTAATTTGGTAAAACCAACTCTTTCTGGTATAGTGTTCTATAAATTTTAACACATATATAGATTCCTGTAATCACTGTGACAGTGTGACAATTGGGATACAGAACACTTTCATCACCCCAGAAAACTCCCTCTTATCTCTTTGTAGTCACACCCTCCTCCCCACTCAAACCCCTGTCAACCACTGATGTATTCTCCATCACCACAGTTTTATCAAGAAGGTCATAAAATGAAATCATACAGGATGTTACTTTTGAGACTGGCTTCTTTCACTCAGCATGATGCCTTCACCTAAACTGCCGCTCAACAGTTTGTTCCCTTTTTATTGTTGTGTAGTATTCCATTGCGTGTATGTACCACAGTTTATCCATTCACTAGTTGAAGGACATTTGGCTTCTCCAGTTTGAGGCAATTTTGAGTAAAGCTGCTATAAACATTTGTGTACAGGTTTTTGTGTGAAGAACAATGGTTTGCATTTCTCTGGGATAAACACCCAGGAGTGGGATTTCTGGGTCAAAGGGTAAGTGTACGTTTAGCTTTATAAGAAACTGCCAAACTGTTTTCCAGAGTTTCCGTATCACTTTGCATTCTCACCAGCAATGAGAGTTCTGGTTTCTCCACATCCTGTCTGGTACTTGGTATTTTCAGTATTTTTATTTAAGCCATCCTAACAGGTAGGTAGTGGTATCTCCATGTGGTTTAGATTTGCATTTCTTTAATGGCTAGTGACACTGAACATCTTTTTCATGTGCTTATTTGCCATCCATGTATCCTTTTTGGTCGACGTGTCTGTGTCTGTTCAAGTCTTTACCCCATTTTTTAAATTGAATTGTTTGTTTTCTTACTGTTGAGTTTAGAGACTTCTTTATTTATTCTGGATTCGGTCTTTTATTGGCAATACAATGATTTACAAATGTTTTCTCCCAGTCTGTAGCTTGTCTTTTCAATCTCTTCACGGTATCTCTCATAGAACAGACATTTTTACTTTGGTGAAGTCTGGTGTATCAATTTTTTTTCTTTTGTGCATTATGTTTTTGGTGTCATATCTAATACTCTTTGCCTAATCCCAGGCCACGAAGATTTTTCCTATGTTTTCCTCTAAAAGATACACAGCTTTATGCTTTTTGTTTACATCTGTGATCTATTTTGAGTTAATTTTTCTATAATGTGTGAGGTTTGCATGGAGCTTCTTTTTCTTTTTGCATATGGATGTCCATTTGTTCCAACAACATTTATTGAAACAAATTCTTTCTTCACTGAATTATCATTGCACTCTGCGCCAATCATTAACTGACCTTATTTAAAAAAAAATTTTTTTTAAGATTTTTAAATTTATTTATTTGATAGAGAGAGCACAAGCAGGTGGAGTAGCAGGTAGAGGGAGAGGGAGAAGCAGGCTCCCCGCTGAGCAAGGAGACTGAAGTGGGGCTTGACCCTAGGACCCTGGGATCATGACCCGAGCCAAAGGCAGTTGCTTAACCAACTGAGCCACCCAGGCGCCCCTAACTGACCTTATTTTTATAAGTATATTCTGGGTTCTCTATTCTGTTCCATTGATCTGTGTATCTCACTCTCTGAAAGCAAACTGTCTTGATTAACTATATTCTAAGTCTTAAAATCAGGTAGTGTGATCCCTCCAACTTTATTATTTTTCAATACTGCTTTCAGCATTCTAGTTCCTTTGCCTTTCTATTTCAACATAAATTTGTCTATATTTACAAAAATCTTGCTGGGAATTTGATAGGAGTTGCACTGAGTCTATAGATTAGTTTGGGAAGAAATGCCATCTTTACTAAGTTGTGTCTACCAATCCATGGACATGGTATAGTCTCTCTATATCTTTTTAGATTCTGTATGTTTTGTTAGATGTATATTTTATTTGGTATGTTTGTAAATGGTATTGTGTTTCAATTTCAGTTTCTAGAAGTTCATTTTTAATATATAGAAATGTGACTGATTTTCTGTTGTTGTTTTAAATCAGAACATTTAATGTGTGACCAATCATTGAAATCCATTAAGATGAACTGGATGCTACAACAGCTGCCCTCTTGGGCTTAAGTATTGTTCCTTCACAGAATCCATGCCTGAATCTGCAGTATACAATTTTTAGGTGCCTCATTTGACCAGTCCCAGTGGGATTCCGTTTTTGTTTTTTTAAGATTTATTTATTTGAGAGAGAGAAAGAGAGAGCGTGCACTAGGGGGGAGTGGCAGAAGGAGAGCAAAAGAGAAACCAAGGTAGACTCCACACTGAGTGTAGAGCCAGATGGAGGGCTCGATTCCACCACCCCAAGATCACGACCTGAGCCAAAACCAAGAGTCGCTTAACTGATGGCACCACTAGGTGCCCTGGTATTTTGTCTTTTAGCCTTGGCACTCTAGTTATACTTCTCTTCTGCTTGGCAGGATTGCCACATTTGCCATAGGTTGACTTCTGAAGGTGGCAGGCCTCAGAGGCACAGCGGCAACACAATGTGTGCGTCTTACTGAGACGCTTTCCAAATGCTATCCCCTTCATCATCTCATCTGTACGGCCAAGATCAAAGAGACAAAATGTGACTGATTTTTGTGTGTTGACCTTATATCCTGTGACCTTACTAAACTCACTTACTAGTTCTAGGATTTTTTGTTTTTGTTTTTGTA